CGAATACTGCATGCCACGAACTTCCAGGGACCTCCAAGCACCCGGAAGTTGACCTCCTCCTGCAAGAGAGTTAACCTCTCTCCTCCTCCACCTTCCCCTCCTCCTCCGCTTCTTTCCTCCATCTCGGGTTTGTGCATCAACGCCATGGCCTCAAACGTCCCTTGCGAGCCGACGAGCAGCTCCCACCTGGTGCTGATCTTGGCTGCCAACATTTCAGCCTCCCCCCCCCGGCTCCCTCCCCCCCCGGCTCCCTCCCCCCCCGGCTCCCTTCCCCTTCCTCCTCCTCCTCCTCCTCAACTCCCTCCTCCTCCTCCTGTTTTTTCGGCCAACTCCACGCGCATGCTTCATCGACTTCACCTCGTGAGCAGCGTTCCACCTTGCCCTTGAACGAGAGGATGGAGACGTGAAACTATTTGATGAGGTGATGAAGAAGAAAAAAGCAGACTAGAGCTCGAAGGAGGAAGGGGAAAGCAGTGAAGCTGAGAGGAGAAGAAGGGGGAGGAGGAGGGGGAGGGTGAGGAGGAGAACCGCTTCGGGGACGATGACACGATAGAGCGACAAGTTGTAGTTGTCGGCTTGCAGCGCGATCTTCCCACCGCTGGGACAGGAAGCCAAGGCCTGGGCTAGAGTGTTGAAGTGGACGGGAACCAGCTGGAGCCGCGTGAGGAGACACGAGGAGAGAGGGGGGGGCAGCAGAGGGCAGACGAGATGAGGGTGGACAAAATGCGAGGAGATCAAAGTACTGTAGAGCAGAGGCGGCGAGGGGAGGGGAAGGAGGAGGGGAAGGGGAAGGGGAAGGGGAAGGGGAAGGGGAAGGGGAAGGGGAAGGGGAAGGGGGAAAGGAGGGGATGGAGGTCACCAAGGTTCCATTGAGCTGATGAACCATCTTCTCTTTCAGGTCTTCAGCGCTTGCACTTTGTCCGACATGAATGTCGAGGTACTTTCCTGCCATGTTCGCGTTCTCGGAGTCAACCTCAGTCCTCTTGCGAGCATGCGCCGTCAGGTCCATGACACACTTGCTTCTGCAACAAGAACATCTCACTGAGATTGTTCGACTACTCGCATCTCTCATCCTCACATCTCCACAGTTCTGTCGTCGAACATGTCTTCGTCCGAAGCCTCGAAGTCAGCCCCTGCACACTCGTTCACGTGCCTCGATGGGGGAGAAGAGCCTCCCCCACCTCCCCCACCCTCCATTTCTCTCTCCTCCCTGACATCCTCGTCGCCTCCTCCTCGAAGGTGCAGCCTTCGAGGTCCGGATGTCAAATGGGAGGCGACGGTACCAAGTCTTGGTCCCTCCCGTCCTGTTCCCCTGCTACTGAGATGCTGGTTGAAGCTCGCTGCTGACAGCAACCAGGACGCAAGGATCCAGCACAAGAGAGCTCCCCAAGTTCGCATGGAAGTGACGCGACAGGTCGCAACCGACAACGTTGGCCTCACGACATACGTCTATCAGCAATTCTTCTATCAGAACACCTTACAAGCATCTTTCAGCACCGCTCCGCTGCCAAGTTTCAGTGCTCATCTGAGCATACTATCTGCCAAGTTTCAGTGCTCATCTGAGCATACTATCTGCCAAGTTTCAGTGCTCATCTGAGCATACTATCTGCCAAGTTTCAGTGCTCATCTGAGCATACTATCTGCCAAGTTTCAGTGCTCATCTGATCATACTATCTGCCAAGTTTCAGTGCTCATCTGAGCATACTATCTGCCAAGTTTCAGTGCTCATCTGAGCATACTATCTGCCAAGTTTCAGTGCTCATCTGAGCATACTATCTGCCAAGTTTCAGTGCTCATCTGAGCATACTATCTGCCAAGTTTCAGTGCTCATCTGAGCATACTATCGCTTCCTCAGGCTCTACCCTGACGCTCTTTCCTCAGTCTTCCTCTCCTCATCTGAGCATACTATCGCTTCCTCAGGCTCTACCCTGACGCTCTTTCCTCAGTCTTCCTCTCTCTCCCTCCTAACCCGCTTCCCTCCTAATTCCTTCCTGGTTGACCTGTTTGTCCGGGCCCGGCACAGTGACCGGGCTCGGGGTCTTCCGGGCCCGGCACAGTGACCGGGCCCGGGGTCTTCCGGGCCCGGACTGGGACATGCCATGCTCGTTTCACTGACTGAGTTTCCGAAACTTGAAACTGACTCCCTCAGGGCCTTGCGCCATGCCAGCGAACGATGGTCACGACGGTGCGCCGAGCCAGTCGGTCACTGTCACCCGCCCGGCGTACTAGTAGGGCCGTTCACTGAGGCTCAGTGCAGCCTGGCAGTGCCATGACAGTGGCGGCGGTCACCAGTGTGCGAGTCACGCTGTACGGTCATCAGCTGATGAGTGCTGGTGATTGAAGTTTACATGCCGACTCAGTAGTCACGTAATAGGATTTAATCATACAAGCATGTGGGCTCACTCTACAAACGCATAACTTCTCCTAGAGCATTGACAATCTCAGCCTTCATCAAGATCAAAGAAATTGATCGCTGTAGACTGTCGAACTGTTTCTCCCGGAAGCTTTCGTTGAACTCTCTAGCCTCGGACACTGCTTCTTCTGTCCCTAATCTTCGAATAGCCGAAGACTGAAAGTTGGTATTGGGAAGAGATCCATGACTTGTCCGTACAGTGGTGGGAGAATCCAGCATGATGTGAAGTGGGAGAACTATGTTGACAGCGAAATCAATGAAGGACACACACAGCAAACCGAAACAGCAAAGGAGAGAACCAAGAAACAACTTGCCCAATGTAAGCGTTAACGGTGCATCAAAAGCCAAGCTGGCTGCGAGCAAAATGCACTTCGATTGCTCCCTTTCTGGTTGCAGATGAAGAATAAGAGGTCTCCAGCTTCACAGTGCTTTCAAAGCACAAGAATGCTTCCGGGAAAGATGAATTTCCAGTTGTACTCAGAGTAGAGAAAGGATGCACACGAGAATTGAAAACGAAACAAGCTGAAAAGCGAAAGATGAGAACCAAGGTCCTCGGGCTACGAGCACAAGCTCACAAATCCACAGGCGAGGAACGAAGCGAGCGGGAGATCGTACCCTGGCGACAAGATACGAGGATCACGTTACAGTGACTCATACATCACGTTCCAGTCAAACGTGATCGACATATCCCTGTAGTAAGAAGGTGAAATTTTTAAGCGGAGACTTTTAAATTTGGTAAAGACCTTCCAGAAGACAAAAGTCAGGTTACCGGAGCCATGACGGCTCTATGCCCTCCAGCACCCCTGTAATCCTCTTGTGTTGTACCCGTACTGAACCTTTCCAGGCAATCAATCACGATACCTCAATTAAAACTGTTTACACTTAAAACTATTGTACAGCGATTGCTGGTGGCGTCCGGATCTGGAGGAATGATTCTGCTGACCGGAAGGCCGGTCTTTACCGGATTCCACCACCCCTTGTCATCCCTGTAATTCGCACCCCTCCTGCTATTGACTCCTTCCCTTACAGGAAACCTCACCCCTTCATTTGCCTCCTACCCAACCATCGCGTTCTCCCCCGCCACTCCCTCGCCTTCTTCGGACGCCACCCCTTGACCCCCCCGTCTACCCCCTCTCTCCCCTCCTCCTCCCCCTCACCCCTCCCTCTCCCTCTCCCTAGCCTCAACGAATTAAACCTCTCAGCCTCCAGATTCTAAACACCTTCCCCCAACCCTCCAGCGCTTCCCACGCCACCGAGACTCCAGCGTCCTCGTCCTCGTGGTCTCCGCGTCAGCCCTTACCCTGCACCAGCGCTATCTACTGCAATGACTCCATCCACGCCATGCCCCCAAGCCGCCATCTGCTCGTCCCCTACTGCGCACAACAACAAGCCTGCTGCAGCACCTTCCTCTGCGGGCTTCACGGCGTCGTCGTGGAGAAGGAAGCAGCTCGAGTGCCTGGAGAGGTCTATCCGTCTGATCGAGTCTAAGGCGGTGATCGTCAGCGCACTAGGGGAGGAGATGACATTGTAGGAAGTACGACGAAGATACGAGATAGAGGATGTAAGATATGATTGAGAGTGTACAGTTTTGTTGGTATGTTGGATTGTTTGTAAATAAAATGTTTGTAAATAAAATGTGATGAGATGAGAGATCTGGATGGAGGGCAGGGTCGGCTCAAGTCTGTACAGTTTGAATCAGTTTTAACTACTGGCTTTGGCTCCATGGACATGCCACGGAATCTTTTCGGCGCGGGCAACGTTGGTGTTTTCGTTGCATGCTGATTGTGCTCATGCAAGGAAGCAGGAATAAGATGATCAGTGTATCGTCTTTGAGGCTTTATTCACAAATCGCTTCTTTACATGTCATCTACATGGATATATAGTGTACAGCTCGCCAGTGTGGCCAGTACAATCTAAGAGTCCTACAATGTCATCTCCTCCCCTAGTGCGCTGACGATCACCGCCTTAGACTCGATCAGACGGATAGACCTCTCCAGGCACTCGAGCTGCTTCCTTCTCCACGACGACGCCGTGAAGCCCGCAGAGGAAGGTGCTGCAGCAGGCTTGTTGTTGTGCGCAGTAGGGGACGAGCAGATGGCGGCTTGGGGGCATGGCGTGGATGGAGTCATTGCAGTAGATAGCGCTGGTGCAGGGTAAGGGCTGACGCGGAGACCACGAGGACGAGGACGCTGGAGTCTCGGTGGCGTGGGAAGCGCTGGAGGGTTGGGGGAAGGTGTTTAGAATCTGGAGGCTGAGAGGTTTAATTCGTTGAGGCTAGGGAGAGGGAGAGGGAGGGGTGAGGGGGAGGAGGAGGGGAGAGAGGGGGTAGACGGGGGGGTCAAGGGGTGGCGTCCGAAGAAGGCGAGGGAGTGGCGGGGGAGAACGCGATGGTTGGGTAGGAGGCAAATGAAGGGGTGAGGTTTCCTGTAAGGGAAGGAGTCAATAGCAGGAGGGGTGCGAATTACAGGGATGACAAGGGGTACGGATCTCTGACTGTCCGATTAACACCTTGTCTGCCTAGAGGCTTCTAGAAGCTCATCGATCTAAATAGACGAGTCACAGCGGAAGGGATCTCCTCTTTCCCGAGCCCGCTCCAATGGTACTCGGCTCTGGTCGCCCGGTCAAAAACTTTTCAGAGAGGATGACCAGTGAGGCCGGCCCGCAACTACCGTACTGACCGGACAATACTCCCGTTCCCCCGGGCCCGCTACTAGGACGAGTACTGATTTTTAACTTAACTTTGAGTAAAGGATGTCAGTAGGGTATGCCTTGGTCAATCATGGATAGTTTACTCGGTAAAGACCGGCCAGTTGTCTCGAACCTTCTGGAAGGTTTCAGCGGGAGGGACCTCCGTCTCAAGGTTGCCATGGTTGGTCAGTGAGGGGATGAGGGATTCGACCAGTCAAAACTCCTTTACACATACCACCCCCTCTTCTGGGCTATTCTACCGGGTCCTTTGATGATCCAACACGCACGACCGTAACGAGATCCGGATGCCATGGGTGCCATGTGCTCTCGAAGAGATGTGAAATCGAAACGTTTCGAATAACAGGCACGTCGGATGGAGGTGTAGGACCCTACCCCTTAATTGCTCGTGGACTACCCGGTCTGTGCACTGTTTAGCCCTTGTATCAAGAACCACCTAGCCGCACCTCCTACTCCATATTTCTACCTACCCCTTCTCAATAGTAAAAGGACCCCGTCTATTTGGAGGAATTCGACCTACCCCTACAAATGGAGGAACGAGGGTCAGAAGTGGCCATGGTAGGTTCGTGATTCACCGACGAGATATGTGCGAAAACACTCTTTTTCAGGGATATCGTTAAACCCACTTCTCTCCACCCCTCCTTCTGTAAGCTTCTCAAGCTCTAAGAGTGGTAGGGTAGTACTCCCTGGCCCTGCTACAAAAGAACTCCCGATCCTAACTCGCCAAAACTCTCTCGCCCCCTCCCTCCTACACGGCTACCTACCTTCCATCATGTGCCATCAGCCCCATCAGCCCCATCAGCCCCATCAGCCCCACTCAGCACAGCCTGCTTGCCCTAGCCCCCAAGATGAGATCGCTACCTCCGAGCGCGTCAAGGCGCGGATCTCGAGCCTCGAACAGTCGTCGTGGAGAAGGAAGCAGCTCGAGTGCCTGGAGAGGTCTATCCGTCTGATCAAGTCTAAGGCGGTGATCGTCAGCGCACTAGGGGAGGAGATGACATTGTGATGTAAATTGAACTGCTAATATGAAAGTGTACAATATTGACATGTAAATAAATTCATGTTCCTTGTTCCAAACGGTGTTTTGTGAGCAATTCTTAACTCTGCAAAGGAGTTTTTTTTCGCGAAGAATGCTACAAAAAAAGTCTAGATTTTATCTTGTGTGCAGAACAGCTAACCATGCATGGATTAAGTACGTGTAACTTCGTCATGTCTTGTGTGAATGCTTGTCGAACTCTGGGCTTCATGGGTTGCTATCGTCGGCAACAGACGTTAAAAAGCACCTCCACTGGATCACAGGAAGGTGCAGTGCAGTGTATTGAGATGCTACACCAACAAGATGAAATTTCTATGACACCATGCAAAGGGAGAATAGGCATCTAAAGGACTCCGAGGTGTAACCAGTATACGAGAGGTTACTCGCGTGCTTTGCATTGTCGTCGCTCACCAGGGTTGTCTGTAGAAAACAATAGCTTCTTCGTGCTCTTCACTTGCACTTACTTAGATGCCTTTCTGTGAAGGCTTGAGCTTGTCTGCAAAGACTTTCACAAGTCTATCCGGCCCAATGGCGGTTGCTCTGTTGCAGTGTGCTGCATCGTTTCAAAGAACGCGTTGACTGCCTGCCTCAATATAAAGACAACAGATTGAAAGCCTGGCACAAACCTGCAATGAAGCATGCCGTGTTTGAGCTGCAGTCAAGTGTTGGCAGCTGGCGCCGGGCCCGTACCGTAGACCTGTCAAGCTGACTTTTGTTAATACTTTGTCCGATCATCGGATTGCGGTGCACTGACTCGTGCAGCCGCCGGCCGTTCTCGACGGGACAAGACTTGGATCATCAGCTCAATTGAATTCATCCCGTTGTGATTTCGTTCGTTGAAAAACTTATCCAGCAACAAGAAGACTACTTGAATTCTCCGCTTTCGCTTGCAACTTTCCCCTTGATATGCATGGATGATACTGTAGAAAATGTCAAGTATTGCTATGATGTGAGTGAAAACATTTTGAACAGCGAAATTCTGGGATGTGTATCTTCCCTCCAGTACTGCACTAATCCAAGAGACCCAAGCTACCGAGAATGGAAAGACCTGATTGCATTGGTGGGCGTGCACGAATGGCGTCTTCTGACGAGAATGAACCAGAACTAATTTTGCCCCTTGAAGTTTATTTCAAAGGAGACATGAAGGGATTTTGGAGCCTTGTTGCAATGAAAGGCGTCCTTGCAACGCGTTGCTGCTTATTTTGCGACATAGCATCCAGTGCAAACCACTGAGATGTTTCATGTTGTCAGCGTTGTTGCCGAACAAACAGTTGAAGATTTTTGTAACAGTGTGTCGATTCCTGTTGAGTGTTTTTGGATGGTCAATGACGGTGCTGCAAAAGAAACGGAAAGTATCATTCGGACATGCATGTTTCAGAAGCAATCGCTCACTGAGGTTAATAAGGAAGCTCTTCGCAGATCTCGTGTTTCCAACAAATTACAGCAAGGACAACGAGTGGTCATTTTGATGCAAGATCAATTCTTGTGACATGTTGAGGCAATGTGGGCTTGCATGCAAAAGTTTGATTCTCTGTGTGCTGCATCTGAAGCTGAGAATCACATCGTGTTTCGTGAAATGTTTTTACAAAGCTGCAACGAGATGGAAGCTCCTCATCACTGTCAAACGCGTGTTGTTCAAGTCAGGACTCAGTTATCATTTGGAGGGAACATCTGAGAGACTGCCCAGCTTAGCTGATGAACGGGCAACCGTGTCATGGTGACTCGGTAGTGACTTGTACTTTACTGCTAACAATTTTTAGAACAAATTTCCGGGTATCGTTTTCCGCGACTGCGATTCCATCCGAAATAGCTTACACAGCTCACATTCTTTCCTCTCCATGCCTCCACCTCCTCCAGTAGCTCCTCTGCCCCCGGCCGTTCCTCCCCCCTCCCCGCCCATGCCCGCTTCATCATCTCCTGTAGCTCCCTCGGCATCCTTGCAACGCTCGACAGCCCCGGGCGAATGTATTGTCTCGCCGCCATGCTCACAACCGTGTGTCCATCCATCTCGGCAAAGGGATGCTCGCCGGCGAAGATGTACCACATCACCAGCGAGAACGAGTACACGTCCACTGCTGCAGTGTACCGAGTCTCTCCCCGGAAGATCTCCGGCGCCATGTACCGGTACGTCCCCGTCGTACCCGTCAGCTCAAGTCTGCTACTGCATTCAAACCTACAGGCATCCACCCGACACGTCTTCATCTCTCGCGGCATTTCTTCGTGCGGGCACATGCGGCTGAGCCCGAAGTCTCCGATCTTCACCGTCCTCCCGTCCCCCGTCAGCAGCATGTTCGCCGGCTTGATGTCTCGGTGGATCACCGGCGGCTTCTGCGAGTGCAGGTACGCCAGCGCGCTCAGGATGTCCTCCACCCACGACACCGCCCTCCTCGTCTTGGGCCGCCAGCGCCCGTCGAGTCGGGAGCGCTTCTTGGCCTCGTAGTAGTGCTCGAGGCTCCCGCCGGGCATGAGCTCCATCACCAGCCACGGCAGCCCGTCGTGCTCGTAGATGCCGTAGAAATCAACCACGTTCTTGTGCCGGAACGCGTGGCTCATCATGCCGATCTCCTTGAGCAGGTCCTTGCCCTCGTTGGAGCGGACGTCGAGCTGGGAGCAGAGAGTCTTGACGGCGACGGTGGTACCGTTGTAGAGGGCGCTCCTGACCTCGCCGGAGGAGCCTTGGCCGAGGAGGTCACCGACGAGGAGGGAGGATCTGCGGATGGCGAAGGAGTCGCAGCGGTCTAGGTCGGGCTGCTGGAAGGTTTGATGGAGGGCAGCGAGCTGGAGGAAGGCTGGGCAGTCTTCTTGCAGAGAGGGACAGCAAACAAGCTTGATTTCAGATACTGAGTTGTCTAATGTAAGTGTTCGTTCTGGGGCATATGCTGTTGTTTGCGGAGACAAGCCTTATCAGTTATCTCAGCATTGTTGTACCCTAGCGTTTGCGACGTCCACTTTTAAACTTGCCACAGGGAGGAGGGGTTGCAAGGGTGGGTGAATCTGGTAGAGAGGACTGGTCCATCTGAAGTTAAACCACCTTGACACAGCCGTATCTGACTCCGAGAGTACCCCTCTCCTCTACACTCTTCCCCCTTCCCCCCTTCTTCCCACCCCCAACCAGTTTGTCCCGCAAGTCGACGTGTTTGAAGAGCCTCCATACGAGGAGAGTGGCCGGGTACCCTGGCGTGATTTATATACAGTGGTAGAATCGATATTGTGTACTAAGTGACGTAGACGTACGGTACCGCACATTTGTACGATCTGATCAACAAATCTAGCTTCATAGGGCATCTGCTCATACCTAAGTGCACTATCGCTACGTTGCTGGCTTATCCCCGCATCAGTGTTAGTTCCATCACCAGCCACGGCAGCCCGTCGTGCTCGTAGATGCCGTAGAAGTCAACGACGTTCTTGTGCCGGAACGCGTGGCTCATCATGCCGATCTCCTTGAGCAGGTCCTTGCTTGTCCAGGTTGGGTGAGAAGTGTTGAAGCTTTCTCGATCTCTCTCGTCCTTGTTCTGTCCTCCCGTTTGAGAAAGAGGGCAGTTTTGCCAAGAGGACGCAGACACAAAACCCCTTAGCGGCCCGACTGACCCCACCCCGCATGTACAGCCGACTGACCCCACGCCTACCCAATAATGTCTAGCGGCTTGAGAAAGCAAGGACTCCTAGCAAGCAGAAGTTGGGGTGATCCTGAACGTGGATCCCTCTACTAATGTGGACAACTTTAAGGAACGCTCCACCCAAGATAACATTCTTGTTAAGTTCCAACTCCAGGCTCCGCCTTGCCTGCACGGGCGGCACGACAGGACGGTCGATGGGAAACTTGGGACGATGCTGCCGCAATTGTCCGCAGGGGGTCACCAAGGCTGAAATAAAGTACTTTGATAAATCAGATCGAAAACTTTGAATCTCAGGAGAGAACCACCTCTACCATGACAGAGCGATTCTAAAATCAAAACACCTTGCTACCTTCCCACTCCATGCCTCCACCTCCTCCAGTAGCTCCTCTGCCCCCGGCCGTTCCTCCCCCCTCCCCGCCCATGCCCGCTTCATCATCTCCTGTAACTCCCTCGGCATCGCCCGATCGCTAGGTACAGCAGGACGCATGTATTGTCTCGCCGCCATGCTCGCAACCGTGTGTCCATCCATCTCGGCAAAGGGATGCTCGCCGGCGAAGATGTACCACATCACCAGCGAGAACGAGTACACGTCCACTGCCGCAGTGTACCGAGTCTCTCCCCGGAAGATCTCCGGCGCCATGTACCGGTACGTCCCCGTCGTCCCCGTCAGCTCAAGTCTGCTACTGCATTCAAACCTACAGGCATCCACCCGACACGTCTTCATCTCTCGCGGCATTTCTTCGTGCGGGCACATGCGGCTGAGCCCGAAGTCTCCGATCTTCACCGTCCTCCCGTCCCCCGTCAGCAGCATGTTCGCCGGCTTGATGTCTCGGTGGATCACCGGCGGCTTCTGCGAGTGCAGGTACGCCAGCGCGCTCAGGATGTCCTCCACCCACGACACCGCCCTCCTCGTCTTGGGCCGCCAGCGCCCGTCGCGTCGGGAGCGCTTCTTGGCCTCGTAGTAGTGCTCGAGGCTCCCGCCGGGCATGAGCTCCATCACCAGCCACGGCAGCCCGTCGTGCTCGTAGATGCCGTAGAAGTCAACCACGTTCTTGTGCCGGAACGCGTGGCTCATCATGCCGATCTCCTTGAGCAGGTCCTTGCCCTCGTTGGAGCGGACGTCGAGCTGGGAGCAGAGAGTCTTGACGGCGACGGTGGTACCGTTGTAGAGGGCGCTCCTGACCTCGCCGGAGGAGCCTTGGCCGAGGAGGTCACCGACGAGGAGGGAGGATCTGCGGATGGCGAAGGAGTCGCAGCGGTCGAGGTCGGGCTGCTGGAAGGTTTGATGGAGGGCGGCGAGCTGGAGGAAGGCTGGGCAGTCTTCTTGCAGGGATGGCCTAGTACTTTCGAAGAATGTGTTTGCCTCGTCATCAACTGTCGTCATGGGGTTATTTGGATTGGGTGGAGCCTTCCTTGTAATCTGCTGCTGTATTTGTCTCCTGCACTTGGAAGGTGTTGTATGATCCTTGATTTGACGTTTGTTCTTCGTTTCATCTGCAGTACTCTTCATACCTGTGCTGTACATGCTTTGTATTTCTCCCGCAAGCATTTGTCCCAACTCCCTGCTTTCTCTTCCTCATCTTTGTCCACATGATGTGTGTTACCTGGCTTTCATCTCGTGCTCTTTCCTCTTCCTTCCTTTCTCTATCCTGTCCTCAGCTCCCCCTCTCCCTCTCCTTGTCTTCGCCACTTCGTCTCCCCCCCGTCCCTCGACGATCTCCTCGCCTCGTATTCGCGTCAGCGCCCCGACAGATCCGCCCCCTTTCATCAGTTCCCAGGAGGTGCAGTACCACCGGTGGTGATCCCCAATTCCGTGAAGGGGTGGTGGTAATACGTGACAGGGTACAGGCTGTCGCACCATACTACCACCCCACCCCCCTTACATCTACTCCCCATCTGAAAGACCCCGACACGTACGGTGTGCGAGAAGCGACGGACCACCCGGGTGCGACCCCCAAAAGGGCCGCGAGTACCCCTCCTTTCAAGGCGATCCCTCACTGGTTTCCGTCAGCCTCCTGAGAGCCGTCAGCCGTCAGTCAAGGGGTGGGGTGGGTTTGAAGAGTCATACGAGGTCGCTCTGAGGCCCTCCGGCTCGGTTCCCGAAGCAATAATGGTTCGGCCCGGATAGAGGAAACCTTCAAATGTAGTGTTCTTTTTAACTTGATGGGCTGTAGTGACTGATTGTAACTGATACCTTCACTTAACTGCGCGCACCGGGACTCATTCCCCCGCGCCATGCCAGCCGCGGCGCGCCGTCGGATCGGCGCCGCCGCGGATGTCGCTGTGGCGACCGCCGCCAAAGGAATGAGACGCATACACTGAGTACGGTACCGGACCGGGAACTTCGAAATGCACGCCGTGACGGACCGTACAGTGACCCGCGATGCCATGTCATAGCCCAGCGAACAGGCTTGAAGACGGTCACCTGGACCGCCGATGGCACAGTGCGCAGGCTGCGTTTGCAAGTCGGATCACCTGAGGCGATCGGTGACCGGCGTCTTGCCGCAGTGCGAGGCCGAGACTCGCCGCCGGGGCCATCCGGGCCGGCCCGTGCTGCCGGCGTCAGTCACTGTGTCATGGGGAAGTTCCCCAAGTTGCACTGCGTGCACTGGGCCGCCGCATTGTAGAAGCGGCCGTTGAACTGAGACGGTGACTCAGGCCGCGCCACTGCTGAGTTGCCAAGTTCGCCGCGAGCTGAGCGACTCGAGTCCGATGGCGGAAGACCGTCCGACTCGAACTGAGGCCTCAGTCAAGGGCTTTGGCGGGACGTGCCGCTGAGCATATGCGTCACAGAGTCCCGGATGGCATGCATTATCATAGTATGATGGGCGGCCCTCGCCGCCGGCGCCGCCGGGGCCCGGGCCCCGGGAGTCCGGGCTCAGTGCGCTCAACGCCGTTGCGCCGCCGAAGGGCCGGGCCCGGTGCACGGTGCCGCTAAACGGCCTTGCCAGTTGACAGTGACTTATTAGTCACTTAACTCCGCGGCCCGGCCGGTAAAACGAGCCGGGCCCGATTTCACCGGTCAGTGGTTCGGACTCGAGTGGATGATTTTTGGCTAGAAGGAGGGGTACATCTGAGTGACAATTCATAGGAATGGGTGGGTACTGTGACTGAGTTGACGCAATTGGGCAGGTGGAATAGGGAGAGGAAGACAGGGAGAGAAGAGAAGAGAAGAGAAGAGAAGAGAGAGAGAGAGAGAGAGAGAGAGAGAGAGAGAGAGAGAGAGAGAAGAGAAGAGAAGAGGAAGAGGAAGATGAGGGTGTGGGGGGAGCAGGATTGCTGTTCCTGCTAAAGAGCAGGAGCAAGAGTGAGAGCAGGAGCAGGGGCAGGAGCAAGGCAACAGCAAGCAGTAGCACCACAGGCATTGGCAGGCAGAGGGAAACAGGCGAGGGAAGGGAAACTGGGAAAGAAGACGTTGAAACAGGGTCGATCGAGATGGAGGGAGGAAATGTGGCTGAGTCTGCTGCTGCGAACGGAAAGCACTGCCAGAAATTAGCGGGAATGGACTGGGATTGCAGGGGCAGAGTGAGACGCGGTAAGGTCTGCTGCACGGCATAGATAGAGCATTGATCGTGTCTCAACGAGCCATGGCTGTTTCTTCAAAGCGTTTGAGGCGAAGCGATGCGATTCAGATCGTTTTCTTGTTGTCAACTCTCCTGTTGTGGGCGCCTGCGGCAGCACAGATCTTTCAACCCCCACTAAGCCCGAGGAGGCTTGCTCTTTCTCATCAGGGAGGTCGACATGAGCCGAACTCTCACCCGTCCCGGACGATGCTGGCTCATCCTGTTGAATCCAATCCACTGCTCTCTTCCGTCATCATCAACCACAAGCGTGAAAGTGACCATTCGTCCAAGAATGCGCATGACCGACACAGTCTAGATGATGACATGGGAGGTAGAATAGTTGCAGAGGAGCGAGCTTTCAAACGAACTCTTCATGCAGGGAGTGTTGCTGTCGACAACGATAGGCTGGAGGCAGCCCAGGGAAGCCCCCGGAGCAACTCATCGCACGTGGGGCGGGAGGAGCCAGTGCAGTCAGACAGCTCAGTGCGGTTGGGGTTCTTGGTGGCCTTGCTTGCGTCTCTGTCGGTGAACCTCGGGAAGGTGTGTCAAAAACGAGGCACGGAGGATCTGCCTCTGCTGCAGATGAAGGGGAACGTAGTGCGAAGTTACCTCGCGAACCCTTGGTGGCTGACAGGATTCATCTTGGATGTTAGTGGGGCCCTGATGACCCTTGTTGCCCTCTCCCTCGCGCATGTCTCGGTGGTTCAGCCGGTGCTGGGCAGCGGCCTGGCGTTTGTTGCCATATTTTCTCACTACTTGACATCCGACCGGATGCAGTTCATGGACTGGGTCGGTTGTGTGATCTGCATCGTGGGGACCCTTGGGATCAGTTGGACCTCGGTGGAGAGAGACGGGCCGGAGGAGTTTTATTTCTCCATCGCCTTCCTGCTCCTCCTCTTCTTCTTCTCCGTGGCTGCGTTCAGTGAGCTCCTGCATAGAAAGAGGCTCATACCTCAAGACATCTCGTCTTCGATCTGTGCTGGCGTGTGCTTCGGTACTTCGGCATGCTCTACCAGGTGAATCCCTCGTGGTGTCGTGCTGCCCGTGGGAAGTTTGACAGCCAGTGCTTCTGCAGGACGGGGATGAAGATCGCGCTGGAGAACGGCTCAACTTTTGCAGCTCCATTTGGTATCTTCCTCAGCATTCTGTTGACGTCGACGGTAAGTCTCCTTCCTTCCTGTTGTTCGGGTGACGACCTCACAGGGTTTTGTGGCTCAAACGAGGGGCCTGAAGGATGGCAGAGCGCTGGCAGTTGTCACATACAGCAACTTGATTGCGTTGCTGGTCGCAGGTTTGTCTTGCTCTTCCGCCTCGTCGTACACTGATGACTGTTCCCTCACCCGTGTTGCTCCCCTCCAGTGATCTTTGGCATCCTTGCGCTCTCCGAGCCGCTTCCAGACACCATCGTCGGGCTGGCCGGCAGGATCTCATCGATCCTGCTCCTGGCATTCGGCTCCTACATCTTGCAAGGACGAGGAGAGCACAAGCACAGAAACCAGATCGAGATGAACATGCACCATGGGCCGTTCGCCAACAGAGCCCACGCGCGGGATGTGAGCTTGGATGGCAGCATACTTGAGACTGTGCAGGTTTCAATCTCCTCGAGCCTAGTTTGACTGCAGTCTTGACACGTTGGCAGGTGCTCACGTCGATAGACACCAAACAGATTTAACCGACCTAACTTAAATAAACTCTCTGACCGTTCTACTACAGGCCCACTAGTCTGAGTGTTGCCAGGCTGTGTCACTGTGACGGTAAGGACGGCCGGGCGGGGCCGGGCCGCGCTGATCGGACGGTCAGTCGCCGCGGGTACGGTGACAGCCCGGCCGGGCCCACGGGCCACCCAGTGCGGTCCACTGACCGGCGGCCCGGGCGGCTTGGCCGGGCCGTCACGCTCCGAGGCCTCAGTCACTACTGCCCAGTACTGAGTCCGATGGACGGTATGCGGTTTCGCTAGATCGATTCGTATCAGGACCCACCCGTGTGCGTCTGCCTTCGTTAGAAGCCTTCTAGGGAAAGTACCCGGGTCCTAGACCGATGAGCTACCCCTGGGTTGTTCGATCATAAGGGGGTACTGTCCACCCCCTTGCTGCCTGTTCATGGAAAAACTGACAGTGGGGGTTCTGACCCCGTTGACCTCTAGAGGGTATTTTTTAGGTGTTTCAAACCGGTGATATATAGAATTTACGGGTAGTCACTGGTAGGGGTTATATCCCCTACCCCCTGGTTGGCACGAGAGGAGACGTAGAGGAGAGGAGAACTGATGGACTGCCTTCAGTTCCCAAGTAGGGGTAGTCATACTACCGGTTCTAAATATTATGGCTCCAGGGGATACAAGGGGGTATTTGATGTTGTGGGGTGGGTACCTTTGACCCAGCCGGTTTTGAGGGGAGGAGAAGGGGGTAAGGGGAATGATGGAGATGAGGCAGCATGGGTGGGTGGGTGTCGTGAAGACATTGGTGGGGTTAAGCAGAAAGAAGAGGGGTGGGGTAGTTTCATTGGTGATTTCATAGGGTAGGATGAATTAATCTTACTGTCGGGGTGGGTAGTCCAAATTTGGAGGGTCAAAACATCGAATTCAACATAAGGGTATGAGGAGTAAAGGGTGTATTTTAGAGTGGTTGGGGGTCAAAGTTGAAAAGCTCTCAACAATTTGAAATGGTTTCCTGGATGTTCCTTGCAAAGGGGTTGAGGATCGTTGGTGGTAGGGTGGTAATGGACAAGCTCACTGGGTGGGGGTATGACGGCTCGGTGGGGTAGGTGTAGAGAAGTGGGTAGAGGGGTAGGGGTGAGTAGGGTCTAGGCAAGGCGGCTATGGAGCCGGGGAGATGGGGAGCTGTGAACGAGCAGGAAGAAGAAATAGAGGAGGGAGAGAGGAAGAGGGGGGAGATGATCAGTTTCATGCTGGAAGGTAGGAAGATGACGAGAAGAGAAAAGAAAGTGAACAAGCCAAGGGGGGAAGGTGTGATGAACAAACTCAGGGAACGAGAGCGCCAGGAACAAGAAATTGTTTCTGAGACACACAGTGAAGCTTGAGGTGATTTCAAGGGATGTTGGTTGCTCGATGAGTTGAAATCAATCAGCATCGTGTGAAGATGCATGTTAGAGCGAATATGGAGGTGGGGAGATAACTGTCCGTTGAATTACCTGGAAAGCAATGAGTATATTCCCGTTCTCGAAGATTTTGGATGGGATTTTGCACTAGAAATGACATGCAAGACTATCGCGCCTGATGTGATTGATCGATAACAAGACAACATGTGCATGATGTCTTTCAGATGTTTATGGATGGCATCTGCCGAGCGAGAGATATCGGATTTCACTATTTTTGTCGGAAATTACCGAAAGATTGAGGCTTGCTACACTTGCCTGCATTGTTTACTCGGAATTGAGGGTAGATTGTAGTGCTGATTGATATGAGGTCAAGAGTAGGAATGTCATCATAGATTGGTCTTGGGCAGTATAGTGTTGCAGTGCAAGATACTACGATAGTAGTGGCAAGCTGTGGTTGGGTAGTTTTTCAACGGTTGCATGTAGTCAGCGGTCAACAATCGTGTCTGGGAAGGTTGTTTTTTCAATGAAGATGACTTGTGTCACAGACCAGACGCTCGCACCAGGAACAAGAACAGAACTCAGCCTTAGCTTCACGAACAGGTCCAGCGTGTGCGAGCTCGTCAACCGTGCTGACGCGAACGCTAGATATCCTAGCTCAAATGGCTGGAGCTGGAGGAAAGAGCATGGGATCGTATGATTATCTCATCAAGCTGATGTTGATCGGTGATAGCGGTATGTCACTCTTGTCTTGCTGCGCCCTCGACGTGATGGGATGTGAAGGGGTTGGCAAGTCGTCCCTCCTTCTGCGCTTCTCAGACGACTCGTTTGGTGACTTGTCTTGTTTGTCCTCGACGTCTGAGATCCTGACTGCCTGCTGGAACCGCAGACATGAATTGTACCCCTACGATCGGAATTGACTTCAAGCTTCGCACGATTGAGCTCGATGGGAAGAAGATTAAGCTCCAACTTCTCGACACAGCAGGACAGGAACGCTTCAAAACCATCACTACTGCTCACTATCGAAATGCCATGGGTATTCTTCTGGTGTATGACATCACGAACGAGCAATCCTTCAAGAACATCGAGGAATGGCTTAAGAACATCGAGAAGCATACCTCCCAACCCGTCAACAAGATCCTTATCGGTGAGCTTGCGACGCTGGGATCTCCCGAGCTCACTGACGACTCGTAGGAAACAAGACAGATCTTGGAGCGCAGCGAAAAGTCAGCACCGAGGAGGGAAGGAAGCTTGCTGGTGAGCGTGTTTCTTCTTGCACTCACTCGTCAGCGCTGACGGCTGGCGGCAGAGCAACTGAACATGGCCTTCTACGAGACCTCGGCCAAGGACAAGAGCATGGTTGACGAGGCTTTCTTTGCTCTCACCAGAGACATCAAGAAGAGACTTGGGGAGCATCCAGGACCCAACAAGTCGACGGGAACTGTTCAGGCAAGTTCACACTCCCTCGCTGGTGTAGAGCTGACGGCGAGGGGAGCAGGTGTCCAAGCAGGAGGAGTCTTCGTCTGCGGGGAAGAAGAAGTCATGCGGAGGCTGCGCCTAGGAGCTGCGGGAAAGGCGAACATGACAACACTCTGATGACAGGTAGCGGCAACGGCTTTCTGGCACCACCACTCTATAACTTCAGCATAAACCTCTCTGAGAGATAAAGATATCGCAAGAAGATGATGTCACTGCCTGTGACACTCCTCGTGAATGTTAGCTGACTCCATGCCCGCAAGCTTCGAGAAGAACAGCTCGATGGGCAGAAACTCGTCGGAGGAGCCGAGCATATGTCTGAGCTGGTTGTTGTAGAGGAGGCGAACATAGAAGGTCCCTGTCTCCACCTCCCGGAGCAGCTCCAGCTGGACTCTTGAGGCGTACGGGGGCCACCTGCACAAGAGATCAACACCCGCTCCTCCGCGTCACCCTCTCACTTCTCGTCGAAGGCGTCGAGGGCCTTGAGCAGCGGGAAGAGCGTGGAGTCGTGGCCGGAGAACACCAGCAGTTTCGCCCGGGGGGTTCCTGCCACTGTCGCCTTGAGTTCTCGCAGGATGTCCTGGAGGAAGCCGCCGATGGCGAGCTTGCTGAGCTCAGGCGTGTTCATTCTCGTGCTCCACATCCACGTGTTGTAGTCCATGAGCGAGTCGATCTCGTTGGGCGTCAGTCCGAAGGGAACGTCCATGCCGTGCGAGCGATGGCAGTGGCACACGTCCGCGAGGTGGATCCAGACGTCGATGACCATCTTGTCCTGCTGACTGTCTGTGTGGTTGATCCTCACCGCGAGCTCGTCGAGCAGCCTCACGTGACTCTCTTGTGGCTTGACTGTCGTGTCGATCTGCGACAGCAGCGACCTGACTCGCGGGCATCGCTTGTCGCTCAGCCCCGTCATGTGGTCCAACGCTTTCTCCTGGCTCTCGATGGTGATCACTCCAGCTGCTCCTGACTCCTCGAGCCGCGTGTCCTCGGGGTACAACCCTAGCAGCAAGTTCTGCACGCTCTGGACAGTTCGCGGATATCGGGTGGATCGCACGTATATGAAGAACTTCTCCTCGGAGTGATCAGCCGGCAAGTCCACAGGCAGGAAGTTCAAGTCTCCCACGTACCTCTCCCTCAGCTCAGCCCCAACTCTCCTCATCTGAGCGGCCCCTCGCTTGGTGAGCTGACCGAAGGGCCAGGAGGAGGAGGAGGAGATGTTGTGCGTGATGTATGTCCCTGTGTCGTCCCGATTGCTCACTCCCCAACGACGAACGGACTCATGCCCGTTGATCTTCGACGACCAGATGCTCTTCAGCTCCTCTGTCTGCACAAACGAGCCCGCGCTCTTGGTGATGGGAGTTCGATCCCCGTGTCGGTGCACCACGATGACCTACAGGCGGGTCAGCAGCTCGACGCCTCCATGCCGCCCTCACCTGCACGAGCTCGAGAGCTTTCTTGCCATCTTTGAGGATGTACCTCGACCCTGTCTTGCAGCTGGCCTCCTCCTCACTGCACTGGGCCGCGCAGGACTGCAGGAGAAGGGAACACGCGGCTGCGAGCAGATAGATGGAAGATGATCGCATCCTACTTGTGGCTGGAGAATGAGGGCAGTCAGCCTAGGAGCGAACACTTAAATTTGTCGATTTTTTTCCGTTCAAAAATGGTTTGGTTACCATCTGCATGATTCAGATGCATGCGCTTGTTCTATTCCCACCAACTCATGTCTTATCTCGTTTCCTGCTCTCTGCTCCACCAAAACACTCCACCAACTCCTGGCATTATCTAGCCTCGTCCTCCTCGTCCTCCTTATTCTCTACAATCTTCCTCTCCTATTCTTCTCTTGCCTCCCCGTCATTCGTCATCAAGAATCCTTCTTTCTCCCTTGTTTTCCTCTCTCGAATTCTCCTCTGTTACCCTAACCCTACCTTATCCTTATCCCCTCTACCTTATTCCACCACATCCTCCTCCACCACCACCTCCTCCTGCTCCTCATCGTCATCGTCATCATCATCGTCATCGTCGTCGTCGTCGTCGTCGTCGTCGTCGTCGTCATCATCATCATCATCATCATCATCATCATCATCAACATCAACATCAACATCTCAAAATCATCATCAAAATCATCATCAAAATCATCATCAAAATCATCAACCTCCTCCTCCTCCTCCTCCTCCTCCTCCTCCTCCTCCTCCTCCTCCTCCTCCATCCATCCATGTTTCCTCAAACAGCTCGGCTCTAAGAGAGGTGATCGTGCTCCCTCCTTTTTTTTTCGTGTAAAAGTTCCTGAGGATCTTTTTTTAAAAGTGCTGAAGTGGCTCATAACCAATGATACATATTTCTTTAGAGGCTATCATAGGTGGGGGTAGTCAATCACCCGTGCTTGATGGTCTTACTGGATATAAAAATATGGGGTAGTGATTGGACAAAGGTGGGTACTGCTAGAGGTGGTTGGTGGATGTATCTCAGAGGAGCTTCGAAATGGGGCTGCGGGCGGGTTGGGGTACAATTAAGGATTTGAGTAGGTGGGGGTGGTTTCTTCAATAGATCTGCAATATTCTACTGCAGCACGAGAGCGTGCTTCGTAGAAATTTACAGCGTGTGGACAATAAATGAAGGATAATCGTGTAATATTTATAGGAAATATATTGACATCTGAAGCAGAATATTGAAATTTATAGGAGGAGGGTTGGCGATTTTTGGGACGGTATTGCGACAATGGCAGGCAGGCAAGGACGGGAAGGAGGACGAGGAGGACGAGGAAGGCAACGCATGCAGCATACAACAGCCTCTATTCACACCCTCCTCCTCCTCCTCCTCCTCTTCCCCTTCCACGCTGAACAGTCTCCTTGTCTAGTGTCAGGGATGTGCCAACATAGTCCGTGCAGCGGGTGGCGTTTGAGGTGCGAAATTCAAGGGCCGAAAGAAGGTGCAGAGGCAGCAGAAGTTGAAAGTCATCCTCTTCTCTGCTTCATGACAGGGCTTAAGGTTCGTGGCATTCCCAAGTCTTGCTCTCCCAGCATGGCCCCTCGCTCCAGGATGAGATCCTGCCAAGAGGGCGTGCGGTCACTTTCAGCGTCTGGCAGCCAGCGGCGGGATGGAGGGATGAACGAGTTGGAGCGAGCAAGGGAGGCTCTTGCAGGAATCATAGCAAAGAGGAGGGACAATCAAGCAGCGTATTCCTTCAATCAGGATGCAGCCGCTCCGTCCTCGTTGACCCGTCCAGAATCACTCGGGGACCGCATGGCAAAGTCGATGTCGAAGGAGTTCAAGTGGCTCTCGGAGGCGAACGCGGTGGAGAACTTCCGCTGGACAGAAGAGGATGAGAGCGAGGACAAGGCCATGCATGATGTGCCGGAAACTCGCGATCAGGACAACCGCCCTGAGGTCCAGGAGTGGAAGCCCATGAACGGGCAACAAGTTGAGGAGTTTGAGGATGTAAGAGTGAAGGACGAGATGCCGCCTTCGGGGTCAGACGATGCAGCTCGCGCCATGCTGGAGGCAGATGGCGACATCGCCGAGGAGGGCGAGGAGGGCAACCGGCTCGAGACGGGCATGTTCGAGCTCAAGTACGACCAGGGGAGCGTGTGGATACCCGGGGATGACCCGCTGACGAGGACCAAGGGCTATCTGCTCAACCGCGTGTTCCCTGGGTTGAAGCTGGACGCGCATCAGATGCTGGATGACTACCTCAGCAGGCTGAACGGAGAGAGTTCGCAAGCTCAGCTCCTGCATGAGTTTCGCAGGGAGATCGGGATGGACACGCCCGACCAAGAGGAGGAGGAGGAGGAGGCTGATCCCTTCGCCAAGGCCTTCAAGGGGATGGAGCTGTCGGTGCCTCTTCTGTCTGAAAAGGGGCTGAAACAGAGCAGGGGGAAGGAGTCTGAGCTCGTGGAGGAGCACAAGGCGATGAAGCTAGGGGAAGCAAGCCCCGAGATGAGCTTGCAGACAACCAAGGAGCAGGTGAAGCAACCAGGAGAGGCAGTGAAATCAAAGGGGGCGGATGTGAAACTTGATGTGCCAAGAGCAGTTGAGGTCCACGAAGACGTGAAAGCAACGGATGTTGTGGTGTTGTCGGCAAGTTTGCTGGCGGGGCGCGAAGGCGAGGCTCAAGAGCTTGAAACTTCCTACGACATGAGGGTTGTGTTTGCTAATGAGAAGACTATCGGAATACGAACGACATGGAGCGACGGATTTGAGGTGACGCCCCTCCAGATCCTTGCCAATCTTGGCCCCTCTTTCCCTTGCAACCTCCTCCTCCTCCTCCTCCTCCTCCTCCTCCTCCTCCTCCTCCTCGTACTACGCTTTCTTCGCTTCGCCCTCCTGGAACTAATTTCATCCAGGTCGTGGAGGAGGTGGACTTGCGTACGGGGAAAATATTTGAGATTCAGGAAGAGGAGTTGGGAGATGAAGGTGTGGAGACTCGAGGGCTTGAAGTGACCGACGGGGTAGAGAGAAAAGAGCACCAGCAGCAGGCGCCGAAGCCCTCCGCTGGCGAGGAGGGAGGAGCTGTTAGGGAGGAGGAAGAGGTGAAGGAGGGGATGCTCGTTCGAGTGACCTCCAAGTCTTCGCGCTACCGCAACCTCGTCGGGCTCATCGTCGCTGTCGTCGGGAACGGCAAGAGAGTTCGCGTGCAGTTTGCGGGGCTGAGGCAAACAGCCCTGCTTCAGGTCACAACAGCTTGAGATGTCCGATGACTTGATGCTGACGAGACTGGCAGAAAACTTCGATCCAAGCGGTGAAGCTCGAGGAGGATTGAATGGCAGAAAGTTAGGAGAGTAGAGCAATCCCTCTTTCTCCCGTCCTTCCCTTCCACCCCCTCACCCCTCCCCCTTCCCCCCGTCTCCTTCCCTGCTTTTCTTCTCCCTATCCTCTCCTCCCTCCTTTCCTTGTGTAAACTGGTCACTCCCTCATGTATAAGAGAATTCTTTCATACTGTACAAAGTAAAAATTGGCTTCAGCTCTAAATTGAACTCCAATCTAATCTAATCTAATCTGATCTAATCTAATCTAATGTAGTCGAGGGTTTGACCTAAGCTCTGTCCCTCTCGAAGGGCACAACGGCATTCGTCGCGTCATCATCTTTGTTGCTCTCTGCGATTTCGGTCCAAGCAGAAGCGATAGGCGTCAGCTTCTCCTCCGCCTCCTGCGTCTGTTTGTCTGCAACCTCCTCGTCCACCTGAGGGAGAGAGTAGCTGGACAGCAAGTCCACCTCACCCCCAGCTGCTTCTTCAGGCTCTACCTTGTTGCCGTCTTTGATCTCCTGCAAGAGCATCAGTCAGCTGACATCTCGCAAGTGCGTTGACGCAACTCACCTCTAAGATCTTCCTGATGTTCGTCTTGTACCGCCCTGCTATCTTTGACTTCCTCCTCTGTCTGCCGCTCGCGTCAACCACTCCATGGTGTGAAGCTGCTGCTCCCTCCTGCTCTTCTCCTCTTCCTCCCTCCCCTCCTCCCTCCTCCGACAGCTGCTGCACCAGCACGTTCGCCGTGAAACCAGAGCTACCAGCTCGAGTCACGAGGATCTCGGGCATGTCTTCATCCTCCTCCATCGCTGCCGTCGTGTCCTCGTCCCTTTGAGTCTCGGAAGGAGCATCGGCAGGGGTCGAGGAGTCCTCAGTTGGGGCGACTTTGGACTTGTTCTTGTCTCGCACGTACCTCCTGTACCTCTTCAAGGCCAAGAGCACGGCGAAGAGGGTCACAGCGCTGCACGTGTAGATCACGATCCACATGGTGCTCTCATTCGAAGACGAGCTGCTCCCCGACGGCACTGCTGTCTTGTCCACCCCTGGCGGTGTCGATGCTGCTCCTCCTGCTCCTGCTCCTGCTGCTCCTGCTCCCCCTGCTCCTGCTCCCCCTGCTCCTGCTCCTGCTCCTGCTATCGGAGTAGTGCTGACAGGAGAAAGCTGCACCTCTGTCATGTTCCCTTGCTTCCCGACTTCCAACTTGACCACGGAGACCTGGATGCCGACCTGCTGAAAGATGGAGCTGAAGCCAGAGGCTCCCACACCCTCCACCAGCTGCTGGAAGGAAACCGCGAACTGAGGAGAAAGAGGAATCACTGCCCACTCCAAGACGACGACAGCGTGCAGACTTCGCTTGTAGTTGTGCAGAGCTCGAACCCATGCCGTCGCCATGTCCTTCAAGGTCAACAACGAGGAGGGCATTCCAAGGTCTTTCGCTATCAAAATTTTGAGCTGGTTCAGCACAGCATCTGTGAGCTGAGTGGTCGAGACGCCAGAGAAGCTCAGGCGCAGCAGCAGCTCCGTGGTTGGGAGAACGTGGAAGGACTGCTCGGCAAACTCGCTGGCATGCCCATCGATGCAGGCGACTGCCTTGAGAGTCGTGTTGGTCGTGATGTACACGGTGACGTCAGCAAGCTGCGTTGGGAGCGCCGACGACCAGGTGGAGTTGAGTGATGTCTGCACGAGACACGTTGGAGTTACCGAGTCAACTGTCCAGTTGATGTAGGCTTGCGATGCATTGCAGCGGATCCTAACGGCGACGTAACCGACGTACTGGGAGTCGCCGTTGGACTCCTGAGTGACAGTGAAGGTCGGGGTCGGCACGGAGGAGAGAGGGGACAAGGGTTGAAGCTCGACAGGCGGCAGCAGCGTGAAGGAGGTCAGGTGGTTGCAAGCGCAAGTCACCGTCCCAACGTTGACTCGCTCCACCCGACAGCCGATCCCTGAGTACCCGCTGCCGTTCCAGTATACGCAGAGGTAGCTATCGCTCGCCGTGAGGACGGGGAGGTCGAAGAGGATGGGAGCACTCAGGTTCCTGACCTTCAAGGGGACCAGGTCCTGCGAGAGGGAGAGGGAAAGAGAAACCAGCGGCGACACCGGCCGCCAGGGCTCCATGTCTACAGCATTGCTCATCACGTCGCTATGCACATCAATGACCACGTTGTCTCCTAGCTGGAGGCTCTGCTGGAGGTTATCGGGAAACGCGAACTCCCCTGTAAGGCCGACGGTGGAAGCGAATTTGTCGACGTTCTTGGCGTACATCCTGGTGATCTTGTACTGGGAGGTGTTGGTGGAGATGGTGATGGGAGATTCTCCGGGCCACAACGAGGCTGACTGCAACTTCATGAGCTTGTACATCGCTTGCTCAAAGCTATTCATGACCGACGCGGCCACCCACGTCTGATTGGCAGCCTGCGCCTGTAAGATCTGAAAGAGCGACGAGTAGAGCGACAGAGCTGATTCACCGCAGACGAACTGGGTTTTGACTGAGAACAGGGTCTTGGAGTCGATCATCGTCTTGACTAGTGAGGTAACTTTGGTGATGTCTTCCGAAGATAGGGAAGGGATTTGTTTCAGAAGGTTCTTTCCGATGTTCAAAGCTTGGCAAGCAGTCGCAGGGTCAAAGAAGGCAATGTTGGCTGCGCTGACTAGGCTGGAGATCAGAGTCTCCGTGGACTTGAGCCACGAGCTGTAGTCAAGGATCCCTGAGTCCAACTCCAACGAGGCTTGTTCCGAACCAGCTCCGATGAGCAGTGAGCTCTCGTCCCACTGGCCTCGTCGAATGGCTGAGGTGATCATGCCTCCCAGCTTCGTCCAGTCCAGGCCCGTCTGGTTGGACAACAACCTTCTTCCTCTTTCCCTTCCATTCGACACACGGACTCTCTTCCAGCTGGTGACGGATCCTATCCTGCCTGGCGCTCTTACCATGCTGTTCTCGGAGCCCAGGGCGTCTTTCAGCTGCACCAGCAGCAACATCGTTCCCGCCTTGATGCATGGGATGTCGTTGTAGGAGGCGGTGGAGTAAGCCTGCCAGTCGGTTTCTGTCCCCTCGTTGTAAGAAACCCCGAAGCGATACTGCAGAGGTTCGTTGCTGCTCGCCCATCCGCTGCAGTAGAACCTGACGGTTTCAAATGGAGAGAAGGAGACGGTTCCTGCTGAGCCCGCCTGACAAGCTCCTGCCGCGTCATCATACACGCACACCTCACAGGCCCCACCATACGGAGGCTGCAGGACCGACATGGACAGGAACGCGCGGCCCACGAAGCCGTTGGCCGAGCAAGTGAGCGAGAGGCTGTAAGAGACTGCGGGAAGGAAGTAGTCGGAGGCAACGATGAACGTCGGTCCCTGAGCTCCCATCGGGAAGTTGGACGTGTCGTTGCCTATGGGCACGCTGACTGAATCCGCCATCATGGCCCACTGGTAGGAGGAGGATGCCGGGTCGCAGGCGCCCGAGAAGAGCTTTCGTCCCACGCTGGCGACATAAAGAGAGCCATCGGCTCCTCTGGTGCCTCCCTGGAAGTCGATGCTGGCGGTGGGGATGGGCTCCTCGTAGAGGGTGACTGGCATCGAGAAGGACGTGGGGATGCGGTTGGGCAGGCTCACTGTGACGTTGAAGATGTACTCCATGCCCGCCAGCACCGGCAACGTGCCAGGCGCGATGGTGACGATGGAGGACGAGGGGAGGCTGAGCACGTTGTTGTTCGAATCTCTGCAGCCTTGCGCGGAGAAACCATCCCAAACCGAGCAAGTCCAGGAGAAGACGAGGCCAGAAGCTGCTGTAGAGCTCTGATCAGGATCTCGTGACGACGACGCGTCCAAGACCAAGTTGCGAAGGGATGACGACTGGATGTGCGAGCCTCCCGAGATGAGAGCGACGAGCTGCTGGTTGCGAACGTCGACAGTGATGGAGCCCTTGGCAGTTCTAGAGGCATCTACCGTCATGCTCGCTGTGAACTCGAAGACGTAAGAGCTGCCGGCTTTAAGCACTCCAGCAGGGATGTAGAGCTGGGGCAGAGATGAGTTGAAGTATTGGGGATCAACTGACGGCCCTGCCGTCTGACCCCACGCAAATTGAAAGCCAGACTGCTCTACCGGGCAGGAGGAGAACTGAATCTCAGCCAAGACCTTGACATCTGCATTCTGAGTGGTGGAGATGTAGGGCGGTGAGAAAGAGATGACGGGAGACGGAGCTCGTCGCTTCAATACCCTCAGCGTGACGGGTTTTGAAACGGTTCCCAAGAAGTCAGTGGCGGTTACCGACAATACGTAGGTCTTGTCGAACACTTGCAGCTCTGGAGTTCCGGCCGTGAACGTCAGGTTACTGCTCGTAACTCCCGAGATGGCAGACTTGAGCGCATCGTCGTTGCTGCAGTCCCAGCTGAAGAGCACAGGCCGCTGACTTGAAGCCTCGGCTTGCAGCTGCAAAGGTGAGCAGGCGTCGACGGTGGAAGGACCTTTGAGGGAGACGGAGAGCGCAACTGGAAATGCTGGAGCCTTCACAGTCGAGGACAAGAGCCTGTTGGATTCGAATTCGTAAATCGGCGCGAGAGCTCCGTCCTGAAACCTCAAGACCGAGCCTGGGACAACAGAAGCTGTGCTGTCGAGACTGATCTGCAGCTGACTTGAAGTCGTCCACGAGCATTGAGCGCTGCCTCCAAGAGATCTCATGGTCTCGTCGAGCAGAGGGCAAGAGCTGCTGCCACTGGCGTCTACCACCCTCACAGCCTGCGGAGATGCGTCAACACTCTTCAGTCATTCCAACTCAGCACAGACCTGATCGAATAAGACGGATATCGATATCCCCTTGGAATCGAACGAGGCGCTTGTGACCTCTGGCGCCTTCCAGTAGCTGTAGGTCGTCGTGGCTTTGGTCGAAGAATCAGCTCGGAGAGCAACTGACAGGTCCACCGAGCTCCTTCCGTTGGAAAAGGGGCAGTTGGAGCATGTCGGGGGTTGAACCTCCAACACTGCGTCTGTCATGTTGAAGCTCAAGAGGCGGAGTGAAGTTGCCTGCAAGACGCCTGTCAGAGTCTATGTGGTCAGCCACAACGTGCATACCTGCACGTAGCCGAAAGTGACGACGATCGAATCGACGAAACTGAGTCCTCCTTGGGAATACGGGAAGTTTGTCAATCGGACCTTGACGGGCCCTGGGCCTGTGTAACTGCCAGCACAAATGGAGTAGACGTCCTCGTAGCAGGAGATCAAGATCTGACTGTTGAAGAGCTTGATTTGGAACGGAATGTTGACGGTCAAGCCGAGATTGTTCAACGTCAGTTCACCCGAAAGCTGTCCTGACATGCTCAACTTGGGCATCTTGAACTCGAGCTCCAAACGCGAGCCATCCGATGCGGCGAAAGCGACCCGTTGAAACTGCAGGTACGCCACGTTGTTCAAAGAAGCCGACGCTGACGCCCCCGAGGCAAACTCTTGATTGTCAACCACAAACGTGACGACGCCCTTCCCGTTCGAGTCTGCTTCTGACACGAGAGGGGAGGAAGAGTCGCCGCATCGACGATACAGCATGCAAGCGTCGCCAGTGTTACAGACAGCACACCAAAGTATGGATGAAATGGCTGGTGATGGTTTGACGTACTGGAATGTTGTGGTTGCAACTCTGTTAGATCGGATGGCTGAGGATTGCAAGGAGTTTCGGAAGGCGAAAGACACAACCTTGTCTCCGCTTGACCTCGGCGGCACTCGCACGGTAACTATGTAGTGATCCGACGCGCTTTGAATGTCCGCAACGTAGCAGGAGGTGCTGATACACTCCATGCCGTCAAACAGAACCACCAGGTCTTCGGGTCCATTCAGAGGTGGAAAGTTTGAAAGTTTGAACCTTGCACTCCGGCCATCGGCTGATTTGGTTTTGCCGTTCACAGTAGCCACGTTAGGACGAACCCAATCAATGGAAGGAAGCTGAAAGTACTGGAAAGTGAAGGACTGCTGAGAAAGTGCGGAGATAGAGGAGATGGAGCAACTGACTACTCCGACGTTGGGGGCAGTAGGAGCAACAGCAACAACTCTAACAGCAGGAAACACCTGCTGGTAGAACGTGGGCTGTACGCTCACAATATTAGCTGTTGAGCCCCCCACTGTAATGGCAAGCTGCTCTGGAAGTGTTGCGTCAAACCCAACGGCAACGACGGTGATCTGCGACCCTCCACTCTGAGGTCCATCGATAGGGGAGATGGTAACGCTGGGCGGGACCAAGCTGACCTGGAAGGCAACCGAATTCTGCAAAGAAAAGTCAAAGGCAAGAAAAACCATGGAGAGAGTTTTCATCAGCCTACCGTTGATGAGGAGAGCGAACAGCTGATTGTCCCAGGAAACTTGAACAAGGGAAGAGTGGCAACAATGATAGTCTTTCCTTGAGACACCCTCACGCTTTTCAACGTTCCGTTTTTCCCGTCACAGACAAACAAGGACTGGTAAGCTTCTTGCACGCAGTCAACACATGCAGCCGAGGGAAAGTTGTCGAGATAGATCTCCACATCTCGACTTTGCCCCAGGTAGAAAGATGTTGGCTGATACAGAAGAAGCTTGGAAGATGTGTTCGCCTTGAACGCAACAGTTGTGTTGATGTTGATTCGACTGTCGGTAAGGGAACGTATGCTCAGGATGTTGTTTCCAATCTTACAGGACGGGATTGCGCTGAGACCCAATTTCACGGTTGCAACGAGGCCTTGCGACTGGAACAGATTGACCGTCATCGGGTATTGATCCACATACACAATGAGGTCCGTCGATCGCACAAGCGGAGGGAGATTTTTGATACCAAGAACGAAATTATTTGAGACTGAGCAATCTATCTCTTCAGGAGAGATGGAGCTGACGGTTGGGGTAGGATCATCGATAACCAGAACTTTGAAAGTTGCTTCGTTCTGACCAGCACTTGAAGTCTCAAACACCCTCACTTGCAAGTATCCCATCGGCCATTGACCGTTTTGAATGGGAGACACTTTCAGGGCTGCCACAGTGCCATCAGAAGTGGAGCTGACGATCGAGCTCGCGATGATTCTCACGTCGAAGTCCTGCAAGACGAACGAAACCCTCGACTTGTTGAAGGGAAAGTCAAGCTTGGGGAAGTTCTTCAACGAGACGAGGACATCGAGATCCATGGAACGTGCTACCTCACGAGCAGACACAGACAGCACCGTCAGCGGTCCACTCCCGACATAAGTGAAGGTAAAGGATGCAGACCTTACAGCTCCTCCTGTTGACTTGACCGTGATCACTACTGACCTCTTGCTGCCGTCATATGACGGTGTCGATATGTAGATGACCTTGTTGCTGTAGTCCAGCCTGTCTACGCTGATGAATTGATTGTTGCATGTCACGAAGATGTCTGATGTATCCATCGCGTTGAGGGACTGCAGCTGAATCTTCACAGAGGTTCCTCCAGCTTCTGGTCCTGAAGACGGCGAGGCGGAGAGTATGCTCAAGTCCGGAATGTCATGCGACGCGATGCAGAATTGCAAGCTACATGTCTGACCTACTCAAGTCTGTGAGTAAGAGCACAAGGTCAGGGCAGGAACAAGCTCACCCGATATCGGTCTATCTAGCAGAGAGAGAGCGTCGCTGGTCAACGCGAACGAGTTGCAGTACGAGTCCCAATTGCAGGACTCTTGCGACGAGATCGCCGTGGTCAACTGGAACTTGGCCAGGTTGCTAGTGATGATGAGGGACTTTGACCCTGCGGTGAGACCAGAGCTGAGCTGGACTTGGAAGGAAGTTCGATTGCAGTCGATAGCAGACGGAGAACACGAGGAGACATCTCGGATCGAAAGCAGGCTGACCATATTGCCGTCATACATGGCCGTTACGTCAGTAGTCTTCAGCCCCTGAGGGCAGTTGGCGCACAGCACCGAAACCAAGACATCGACTGCGACAGCTCTTCCCCATAGGAAGAAGGAGGTCGGCAATGCAACTGGATCGATGCCGAGCAAGCGGACAGAAGTCTGCGAAAACAAAGTCAGAGGAAGAAGAGCCTGGGAGCTCTAGACATCTCACCGGGTCGTAAATGTCAATGGTAAAGGTCAAGATGACTGCAGAAACAGGTTGAAACTGCAGCTCGACCGTGTGTTGTCCAGGCATCAAATTCTGAGGCAAGGTCACAGAGATCTGAACGCTTGCTGCATCAATCCGCTGCGTTGAAGAAACTGATGAAGGAAACCTCGTGCCGCCTCCATCGATCACAGTCACAGTCATGCTCGCTACATCATATCCGCTTGGAAAGTTGCCCAAGATGATTGGAGGAACCAACGAGTTTTTGTTCGGGCATGAGACAGGCACCGGGGGAACGAGAGCTACTTGCGCTTCGCTGATTTGATTGAAGTCAAATGTCACGGCATCCACGCACGGCAGAGGGCATGTGCTAGGAAACACTGTGACTAGAACACTTCCCGGCTGTGTCTGTGGAGTGACGAAGCTGAGCACAGTCTTGACAGGCGTGGATGAAGCATCCACTGTCACAGCTGTGTCGTCGAGGAGGTTTCCTGCAAAACTGACTGAAACCTGAGATGGAAACGGGAAGTACATGATCTGAAGATACACTTCTACTCCTCCGCTAGACTTTCCTTGGGATGGAAGTACAGATCCTGACACGACCAAGGGTGAAGTAGCGACGTAAGTGTATTGAAGGGTGAGGTCAACCGGTCCCAAGATGGAGACGTCAAAGACGTTGGAAGCGAGCCCATTCAGATTCACTGCTGGGGTCTTGATCGACAACTTCGTCTCTTGATCGTTGGAGTACAACAGGAAGACGGTGCCGAAAGCAAAGATTTGCCCGGAGCTGTCAGTGAAAGTCACCGAAACATCATTTGCGCTGCCAATTGTAGGATAGCGATATACAATGACGTCTACGAAGTCACCGCCAACATCTGGACCCTGAGCATCGGTCAAAATCTCGACTGTCGGCTGGATATCGTCGTAGTAAGAAAGTGAGAAGCAGACGAATCCAGAGCCGCATTCCTGCAAGCAGCTCTGCCTCGAACAACATGAAGTCGAACATGACTGACTAGTTGGCAAGCCTGTCGTAGAGACAAACCCCAACACCGATGATGCCGAGTCACTTGGCGGCACAATGATGATGAAAGCTCCAGAATTTGCAATTTGGTCTACGGAAGAATGTACAATCGTAACAAGACTATCCTGCAAAAAAACCTGCCAAGACGTCAATTTCAATTACTCTTTTGCAGTCCAAACGCACCTTTGCGGAGTACTGAGCGGATGCGACCACGTTCTCTGCGACGATTCGTATCTAGGAATCAACAAGTAAACAAACAGCAATCTGGTTGATGATTGATGTACCTGGCTTGCTTTTGACATGGGGACGTTCAACCCTCCCATGGCTCTTGACGACAATACAGGTGAAGAATCCAACAACTCAATCTTAACAATCTTGGGTTCAGACAAAGCCACAAAGCTGAACGGAGAAGAGACAAAACTGTGGCACTCAAGTCAAAAACATAAACTGGTCAATAACGATGCACTTGCCTGTTTGAATAGAGAGCATGTTTCACCTTCATGTTTGCCAAACCTGTTTGTGCTTGATTCTGATTTGGCGACTGGAAGTCTATTTGCACGTTTGGCAGGTCAGAAGTGGCTTGAGCCTTCAGTTCCAATCGCTGCACCGCAGTACTCAACATTGTGCCGTCATTCATCAGAAATTGTATGACGAAGTCCGAGGGCGAAGAGACAGGAGGAAAATTCTGAATAAGCACCCTGATGTTTGAAGAAGTTTCCACATATGCTTCTGTCGGGAACAATTTGAGGATCGCGGGCAATGGTGCAACAGCGTACTCAAACTGAGTCGGGAAAGCTATCTTCCACTGCTTGATAGGTGACAAGATGAAAAGAGACAGTAGAATTGTTTTGGGATAATTAGTTGAAGGAATATCAACTTTCACTAAACTCTTCTTTGTGCTCTTGTCAAGGACTTGAATCGATTTTGCCGAAACATTCTTCCCAAAGTCAACAAGGACGGAGGTGATGTTCTGATCCAAGTTGTCGACTTCGATGGCCATTTCAGTTCCTCCATAAAATCTGCACGATTGAGGATTAAAATTGCTCACTACTGGGTTCAAGTCTGTCCGCACTGAAACTTGAAACTCTAGAATCTTCTTGTTACAAACCCCGAGGTTGCAACCAATCACTGTCAGATTGTGCTCTTGAGCCAAATTTGCGATGAGGATGAAATTCACCATCAAAAGATTCTCCCCACCAGAGATGACTCGGTTGAAAACCACTGAAGATGTGGTTGCGTTTAGGGTGGACAACACTTTGATCTGTGTGATGTTGGTGTAGATACCATAATCATTGATGGCCGCCATCATCTTGGTGGATCGAGCCGAATAAACCCAGGAAGGAATGACGTAGCTCAGCGTGATTGCTTGTTGTACAACGCATGGTGTGCTCAAAGCGATCATGAAGTTCGGCTGTCTAGTTGCCCAGACCTTCACGTTTCCTGAACTATATTGTGTAGCGTCATATGGAAACTGCATGAAAGTATTCGACAAGTCTGACATGACCATGAAATTTGGGATTGTGCTGGCACTGACGTTAGTGTTCTGAGCAAACGATAACGCAACTTCGCTTGGACCACTCACAACCCTAAAATTCTTGAGTTTTACTTGGACGATTTCTTGCTTCGTACATTGATTTTCTCGTTTGAATGAGTCGACAAGAGGCGGAGTCGTCGGGATTGCTTGGCATTGCAGAACTAAAGAATTCGAAACCTTCTGAGCCGCCTTTACAGAAACGCTGACTGGTCCAGGTTGACATGCTGGTAATATAAAGGTGATTTTCCCTACGATCGAGCCAACTGATCCAACAGTAAAGCTGCTGTAGTTCAACAAGACGCTATTCAAGCTGCCCTGCACGTTCACGTAGAACTCGTTTTGAGGGATAGACGACGGAAGTTTGCTCAGGAAAATTGTGACCATCTGCCCGCCATCAGAGTAACTCCATGTTGGGCTTGTATAGGAGATCTCGGGCTTGTTCGTATCGATGTAAGTGAAAGGGATCGCCACAGCGTTCTGAGAAGAGAAAGATGATCTGATAATGATCGAAGTGACTCCTTCTTTGGATGCTTGTGGGACCTGTGCATGTAGCATTACGATTAAAATCTAAATGATGATCCGTACCTGAAACTCAATCTGAGTTTCCGAAGAATCCGACAGGATCAACAGGGGCCAAATTCGGACGTCCATCTGCACGACCAAGTCTTTCACCTGAGTTCTCGTTAATAAGCAAGCAAGAGATAGATCGTAACCTCACAGTGTAAACGATAGGAAAGTTCGACAAGCTTGCTCGTACAGTACATCCTCCTTCCAAACTGCAACTGAGCGAGTTTGAGTCTGTGGATATGCTGTTGACCTTGATCGGGTCATTCAAGTTGTCAGGCACGTATGTGAAGTTTGCAGAGATGCTAAAATTGAAATTGTTTCCAAAAGATATTGTAATCAAAGCGCGCGTTTGTTTGGTCACGTTCAGTTGTGGTGTCTTGAGGACCATTATCATATAATCTTTCATGACAGAAGCATCCGTCATGAGTTCATTCTGGACGTATTGTTCCGAGGTCGTGATAACGTTCTTGTACTTCGAAAACAGGGTCCGAGTCGTGTTGGTCATGTTGTTCCAAACATTAGATGAGACCATGATCTGGTTGTAGGTGCTGTCTTGATTGATCCAGCTTTGAAGAGGGATCAACCAGAAACTCGTGACGGGAACAGAATCAGAGCCAACCCTGACTTCCGGAAGAATCTGATATCCTTGCGAAGTGAACGCTCCAATCTTTGTGATTCCCATGACGACGAAAGTTCCTCCTCGAGAAGGACCTTCACTCGGCAAGTAGTCTACGACGGCAGGGGTGAATCCTTGTCGGAATTCTAGTAGGACTTTGCTTTGACCGGATGGAAAGTCTGAGGTCGTTACCTCCCCAACCCTTTCTGACTGATAGAACACAACTACACTCAAAGGGATCCTGTCGCCTGCCTGCAAAGCTTCGATCGCGAAATTCACAAGGACCGAATCCCCAACGTTCTGAAACGTGCAATTGTACTCCCTCTCTACAATGAGTTGGAGATTGTCAAAGGACCACCCATACTTCGGTCTGAGGTTCTTGATTTGGAACGAAATCACGTGAGACTTTCCGGTTTGTAGCCAAAACTTCGAGACACCATCGATGGCAAAGGAGGAGTACACGATGTAAGGTGAAGGAGGAAGAATGTAGTTCCAGGTACTATTTAGCTTTCCTCCTGGGTATTTGACCACTAACTCCAAGTCTCCAGCTTTTGACGTGGGCAATTCAGGGAGAAGGACGTCAATAGAGACCTTTGTTCCAAGGATCACCCAGCCGTTGACTTTACAGTTTACACCTGCGAGGGAAATGTTGAGAGAGATTGCACTTGTGGCACCGTTGATGACCATGCTTATTGACTGACCGGCAGATCCAGGGTTAATCATGCCGGAGTTTGGTGAGACAGATACTATGCTCATGCCAACGAACAGGAAAGAAATGTCACTTGCGACAGCAAGGTTTCCTGATATGTACATCACGATGTCGGCAACTCCCTCTTTAGCAGCCACAGGCACAAAAATGGAGAGTACGAACAAATCATAAGAGTTGGAAGTTCCCGCGGTCTGTTTAGTGAGAGTGAAGTATTGAGATTGCCTATACACACCATCCGATCGAAAGAAAACTTGGATTGTTGAGATGCTTGCGGTGTACAGATTGTACAGTCCAGCAGAATACCTGGTCCTTGGCCCCAGAAAATCCCTCAACTGGATATTCACAAAATAACCTCCCGCCATCTCTCCCGAAGACGGACTGATGCTTTCAAAGACGATCTGGGGGTACCCTGTATTGATCTCAATGGGTAAAGCCACTCTTTTCCATGGATTCTGCTTAATAGATACTTGCAAGTTTCCCTTCACCGAGTTTGCGAATGCTGAGAACAAAACTTGACTGCCAAGGATTCGACTAAGGTGGATGGTGAAAAAAGCAGATCTCAGGTCAAATGCCCAGTCCGTGGCATTAAGTGAGATTGTCAGGTTGGGGATGACAAGAGAGATAGCCAATTCCTCCCAAGACAGTTGGAGTGGCAAGCTTGTCAGTATCAAACTCAAGTCCTTTGTCACCTGATCTCCTGACCACACATCAAAAGTCCTTGTGGTTGAATTACGCAGAATGAAGTAGACTGGGACAGATGACGGTGAAAAGATAACTGGCAGGATGTTAAAGTCCGACTTCGACGTCTCGCAATCAACCGCAGGGCCGAGCTCATTTACTGGGCACACCATGAAGAAGTAAGTTCCTGGGTTCTTCAACGAAGTATTTGTAAAGGAGTACTGGAATTGACCATCAGCGGTCAAAAGAAACTGCAGATCCAGACACTTTCTCCACACCACACATCGCTCGCTCATGTCTGCACAAGTAGCTGCTGTGATCTGAAAACAGGTCAGCGGCATTGCCTCATCTCCATACCCAGTGTCAGCAGGAAGACTCCATGTCAATAGGACATGAACGGCATCAGTCTCTCTCGTTGACAATCCAATGGTAGAATTGGGCTTCCCCGCAACTCGAAAGTTGTATGGAAATGACCATGGCCCTATGATAATGCTGCCAAACAAAATCAAAACAAGATTCTAAGTAAAAGTGAAAAAACAACATTCATGCAAGGAAAAGACAAGTATTACACACCTGTAAATCGCCCTTGCTCTGATGGACACGTTCTGCCCTCTGATGAGCAAAATTTTACGAGATGAATTTTTCACGAAGAATTCAGACTCTCTATAGTTCAACCACGAGATAAGGAAAGTGAAGGTGTAGTCCGAGGTTTGAGTCTCACTGTGTGGATTGATTTCAGTGAAGGAGACGCAATCTGACTCATTCACGTCTGCAATTGCACGGCAAAGTTCGAATTCATATTCAGTGATGTGCTGTGATCCGCTGTTGTTGCTTTCAGGGGGAAGAAGGTGCACAAGAAGAATTGATTCGGATGCTGTTGAGCTGAAGTTGAACTGAAGAGAGCTAATGAAAGGTAAAGATACATCAATCGCAAAAGTGCCCGCAAACTTGACTGACTGCGGAGAACTGGATCCAACGAGGTTCTTTGCTTGAACTGAAACGCTGTAAAAGCTCTTCCAGCTTGTCAGCCTTAAATCTATAATACAAGATCCGTTCGAGCAATCCCTAGGACTGACGGAAAGCTCTGAAGGCACACAAGCATCTGTTTTACACTCTACAATGGTGACAACAAAAGAAAAATTGAATTGGTTCGAAATTCCACTATAGCTGTCTTCAATCCATCCATGAGTCCACACCACTTCGACAATGGCGAAGTCTTTCTTGTATGACATCAAGGTAGACGGTGGCGGCGGTGATGCCACGAAGTAAATCGTCAAGTTTCGCGGTTGTGATGTCAGAGAGTCGTTTGCAGCCATCAGACCATCGTCAGTCAAGGTCACCAACACAACCACCTTGGCATCAAGACCCTTGAAGTTCTGTAGAATGAGGGTTCCATTGGGAGTCAGCGTCAGAGAAAGGTTATCCCACCTTGAAGCAGACACAAGGTCGAAGCTCAGCGTCTGATCCGCCTCGTTGAGTGCTCCGGAGCTGATATTGAACACCACACGTGCCATTGTCATGTAATTGGAGTTAGATGGAATGACTAGGACGGGTTGAATGCTAAAGTAAGGCATGTCATTCACCGAAAGAACGAGTACAGTCAACAACCGGGGAAGTGAAATGTTTTGTCCACCATTGTCAGTTCCACCATTGTCCATCAACGAAACATTCCATATTGTGTCACCAGAGTAATCATCGGCTGGCCATAATTGCAGAGTACCGTTAGAAAACAACATTGGCACAAGTTTGAAGTGTGAAGCATCACTGAACTTCCAAGGAGACATCACGAAATATACCTGCTGCCACTGCTCATTGAGAGGTCCAGCACTGATATTGGTGGCAAAGTGTGAGATTTGAGTAAGACCAGAGTCCTCAAGTATGGAGACCGAGGATGGCATATCAAATGCAGGGGCATCATTGACTGGAACGACGTGGATATCCAATTCAAATAGCGTCGTGGTGTAATTATGCTGATCAGCCGAGATCTGGACAATCCATTTAGAGTCTCCATTCAGGAATGCAATCGTGTCTACAGTCAGGAGGCCGTTGCTGTCCAATACAGGAAAATTTCGGAACATCTGAAGTGACCCACCACCAAAACTGATGGAAACTTTCCATGAAACACCAAATGCCTCCAGTCCTTTGATGAATTGAGGCTGTAGGACAGTAAGCCTAAACAATTCGTCGTGCGGAAGCTCAAGCAGTTTGAGGGAACTAAAGTAATCGTTGTCTTGTTTAGCTGTACTAAGGAACTGAGTCCAATTGAAGAATGAAGAACCTGATGGAGTTGTTTCAAGCAAAAACTGCATAGCACTCGTCACATTTGACGACGTTGATGACACGTTGAACGACTCTGTCGAGCTTGGCGCTGGCGTACTCGCCTGGGTCGTAGACGACGCTCCTGTCGTCGTGTACAGCTTGCTGTCTATCGCAGTCGTCGTCGACGTTGATGACACGTTGGATAGCTCTGTCGAGCTCGGCACTGGCGTGCTAGTCGACGACTCCCACGTCGCTGATGTCTCGATGCCTGCGCTTGAAGTATTTCCGACAAGATAGCCGTCAACACTTGTCTGCCAAGACGGCGTGCTTGGCGCTGGCGTACTCGCCTGGGTCGTAGACGACGCTCCTCCCTCGCCTGCCCCCGTCGTCGTGTACAGCTTGCTGTCTATCGCAGTCGTCGTCGACGTTGATGACACGTTGGATAGCTCTGTCGAGATCGGCTCTGTCGAGCTCGGCGCTGGCGTACTCGCCTGGGTCGTAGACGACGCTCCTGTCGTCGTGTACAGCTTGCTGTCTATCGCAGTCGTCGTCGACGTTGATGACACGTTGAACGACTCTGTCGAGCTCGGCACTGCCGTGCTTGGCGCTGGCGTACTCGCCTGGGTCGTAGACGACGTTCCTGTCGTCGTGTACAGCTTGCTGTCTATCGCAGTCGTCGTCGACGTTGATGACACGTTGGATAGCTCTGTCGAGCTCGGCACTGGCGTGCTAGTCGACGACTCCCACGTCGCTGATGTCTCGATGCCTGCGCTTGAAGTATTTCCGACAAGATAGCCGTCAACACTTGTCTGCCAAGAAGGCATGCTTGGCGCTGGCGTACTCGCCTGGGTCGTAGACGACGTTCCTGTCGTCGTGTACAGCTTGCTGTCTATCGCAGTCGTCGTCGACGTTGATGACACGTTGGATAGCTCTGTCGAGCTCGGCACTGCCGTGCTTGGCGCTGGCGTACTCGCCTGGGTCGTAGACGACGTTCCTGTCGTCGTGTACAGCTTGCTGTCTATCGCAGTCGTCGTCGACGTTGATGACACGTTGTACGACTCTGTCGAGCTCGGCACTGGCGTGCTAGTCGATGACTCCCACGTCGCTGATGTCTCGATGCCTGCGCTTGAAGTATTTCCGACAAGATAGCCGTCAACACTTGTCTGCCAAGACGGCGTGCTTGGCGCTGGCGTACTCGCCTGGGTCGTGGACGACGCTCCTCCCTCGCCTGCCCCCGTCGTCGTGTACAGCTTGCTGTCTATCGCAGTCGTCGTCGACGTTGATGACACGTTGGATAGCTCTGTCGAGCTCGGCACTGGCGTGCTAGTCGACGACTCCCACGTCGCTGATGTCTCGATGCCTACACTTGAAGTATTTCCGACAAGATAGCCGTCAACACTTGTCTGCCAAGACGGCGTGCTTGGCGCTGGCGTACTCGCCTGGGTCGTGGACGACGCTCCTCCCTCGCCTGCCCCCGTCGTCGTGTACAGCTTGCTGTCTATCGCAGTCGTCGTCGACGTTGATGACACGTTGTACGACTCTGTCGAGCTCGGCACTGGCGTGCTAGTCGATGACTCCCACGTCGCTGATGTCTCGATGCCTGCGCTTGAAGTATTTCCGACAAGATAGCCGTCAACACTTGTCTGCCAAGACGGCGTGCTTGGCGCTGGCGTACTCGCCTGGGTCGTAGACGACGCTCCTCCCTCGCCTGCCCCCGTCGTCGTGTACAGCTTGCTGTCTATCGCAGTCGTCGTCGACGTTGATGACACGTTGGATAGCTCTGTCGAGCTCGGCACTGGCGTGCTAGTCGATGACTCCCACGTCGCTGATGTCTCGATGCCTGCGCTTGAAGTATTTCCGACAAGATAGCCGTCAACACTTGTCTGCCAAGACGGCGTGCTTGGCGCTGGCGTACTCGCCTGGGTCGTGGACGACGCTCCTCCCTCGCCTGCCCCAGTCGTCGTGTCTAAGTTCGTCGTCGAACTTACTATCTGTGAGATCCACGTGGCAGTTGATTCCAGTCCTGGGAAAGATGCGTTTGATAGAATAAATGAATGATTCGTTGTGCCAAACAAATCCATAAAATTGGAACCATTAGAAGATGACATGGATGAACCATATATAGGCGTGCTTGAAAAATCCATTGTGGTACCTGTCACAGCAACATCCAAAAAGGAGAAGACAAATTGAACAAGGGCACAGAACAAAACATTCCAAACCAACCCTCAAGGCATATGCACTCCCCGTCCCACCCGCCGCACCGCCCGTGCCCCGAGCACGTCGCGTTCGCGCTGCACGACTCGTTGCACCCCTGCCCGTACTCTCCCGCCCTGCACGCTAGGCAGCCCGGCCCCCCGTGCTCCCCGTCGCACCCTCCGCTTCCCGCTCCCGTCGCCTCTCCGCACCGCGCCCCGCCCCACCCCTCAAGGCATATGCACTCCCCGTCCCACCCGCCGCACCGCCCGTGCCCCGAGCACGTCGCGTTCGCGCTGCACGACTCGTTGCACCCCTGCCCGTACTCTCCCGCCCTGCACGCTAGGCAGCCCGGCCCCCCGTGCTCCCCGTCGCACCCTCCGCTTCCCGCTCCCGTCGCCTCTCCGCACCGCGCCCCGCCCCACCCCTCAAGGCATATGCACTCCCCGTCCCACCCGCTGCACCGTCCATGTCCAGTACAGTTCACCTCGGGGGAACAGGTTTGTTGGCAGGATAGACCAAAGTTATTTGTTTCACATGCGATCTGATTCAGGTTTAAGTTTTCTTCCTTTTGTTCTGTCAACATATGTTGGGTTGCAATAGCTATGGAAGAATTGTCTGACTTTTGTGTACAATTTACGTTTGTCTGATTTGTTATGTTCGTGCAGGATGCCGTTAATATGTACATGCTGATCAATAATATCATAGTTTTTTGGTCTGATCGTATTATTGAAGCTCGTTTTCTCAATGTTTTTTGAGAAGTATGGTACTCCTGAAATCCACATGAATTCTTGACAGAAGCATTCATGATTTATTTCTTGCTCTTCAGCAACTCTCAACTGCAATATTGTATCGCACGTATGTTGATGTCTGATATGAATTTCTCTCAACACCACTATCCTCCGTTCTTTTCTCTTGCCTTCGCTTCTGATGGATCGAGCATTTCCTTCTTTCCCTTCACCAGCTCGGGAGGGCTACCCTACCCCCTGTTCCTCGCAATCCATGTTGGCTTCCACCTAGTACCTTTCAATTTACTTGAAAGTACCCCTACTCGGCAAAGTGAACAGTTGCTGGTGATTAACCCCTACCCTCCCATCAGCATCTGCTGGTAACTGACCCCTACCCTCCCATCAGCATCTGCTGGTAACTGACCCCTACCCTCCCATCAGCTGCTGGTTACTTATATTATTTTATCTTCGTTGACCCCTACCCTCTAGTTTTCATCACCCCTACCTTGTTCAAAAGATTCTCCCTTCCTTGTGGTGCCCTACCCATTGAAATACTGTGAGTTGCTGGGTAACAGACCCCTCCTCATGGAGTATCACTTGAACACCCCTACTGCTTTGACTACCCACCCCTTAATCGACACCATGAAGATCATCTCTGTTGGAGATGCTCCTCGCAAGGTACTTTTATTCCATTCAAAGGGTGGGTAGTAGCAGACTTCGCACGGGTGTAAGAGACCGCAAAAGGTTTGTAAATGATCAGGTAGGGGTCCAACAGAACCGGGTACAGAGAGCGAGTTTTTGCGGCCGCCTCGTCTTTTTACTCAAAAGTCAGTACGAGGACAATGGCATGCGAGTTGAGTAAAACAGGATCGGATGATCACTTACGGTAGTACCGTAGGCTTCGCAGCCGGGCCCGGGGACCAGTGACTCCGTGAGCCTCCGACGGAAGGGGCCGCGCCGGGGAGCTCGCGGGTTGCGGCTGGCAGTGCCGCATCGGTTGAAGATCTAAGTTCAAGGCAAGGCTTTGACCGTCACGCGGCGGGACGGGACGGCGGGACCCCCCGGGGGCCCGAGATCACTGATCTCAGGGCCGGGACTCACGGCGGTGGGCCCGGCAGGGCGGCCCGGCCCGGGGGCCACCGTGACTGCCAGCCTGAGAGTGAGTCACACTGGTCGTGACTCCCGTCGCCGCCGCCGCCGCGCCCGGCCCGGGCCGGCCCGGCCCCCGCCGCTGGGAACGGCGGCGAGTCTGAGTCCCTAAAATCAGGCCCCCAGTTTACTCAGCAATTCAAACGGGCGGCGGGCCGCCGTGACTAACTTCAGTCGGCGGGCGCTACTGATGGCATCGTTTCCGGAGTCCCCGCCTCCTCAGTGACACGCTTCGCTACACCGTGCATTGAATCGGAACTTTGGCAAGCCTGAAGTTTGAAGTATTAACAGGCTGTTCAAGTTGGTGACTATGCGTTGGCCCGGACTCCTGATTATACCTTCGGAGTTCAGTTTCTGATTCTGATCAGACTTTGACTAATGCCGGGTCACCGTTTCCATAACCAGCCGCGAGCGGCGCGGCGGCACTGCCTCAGGGCACCTCACGGTCAAGGCTTTGACCCGGCCGCCAGGGCAGCGGCGTCAGTGCCCGGCCCGGGCCGCCCGGGAGCCTGCCCCCGGCGCCGTGCCCCGGCCCGTTACTAAGTTACGGTAAAGTACGGCCCAGCCTCACTAGAGACGGTTCAGAAGTTGAAGGCACGGCCCTACCCCACTCTTCAAGTGCCTCCGATCCCTGGTGTACACTACCCCTCCCCAGTACCCCCGGCACCGGGTGACTAGGAGTCTGGCAGCATCATCGTTGCCTCGCTTCTCATGTTCCTTGCCAGGACCGATAAGCTTCGAAGCTCTCGCGCCTGGTGGCTGCTGCTGCTGTTGTAGCTCCTCTTTCCTTTGCAGTGCCACTGCTCGTCCTTCTCACAAGTTCCTCCTGCAGTTCCTTTGAAGTTTACTCATTCAGCTGCCGTACCCCTCCCACTCGTTCCTCTGCGTTGCCCCAGCTGCCCGCTGCCGCTGCCATAGTGTGCCCTGCCCACACTGCTGCTCTCCCTCCACTCATCATCGTAGATATGTCCAGAATATTGTATATTGTTATTCCTCTCGCAAATCAGATTGATGTTGTTTCTTGCCTCTCTGTGAGTGTCTCGTTCACGCCAAGCAAAACATGTGAGAATGTTCATAGATTGCTCCGTGTGATGTCCTACCTGTCTGGGTTCTAGACCTTTTGAGACATCTTGATTATCGTTTGACCTTGGTTTCACTTCTAAACGAGGCATAACAGCTTCTTTTGTTTCTCAAGGTATCAGATGTCGAATTATTTGAACTCTTCGGTGGGCGGACAGGCGGCCAATGCCTATGGCGCGTGACTCTTGCTCTCCTGGTACACAACAAAACTGATTTTTTCCTTTAGATAAGACAAGCATGGACATAGATGCGAAGTTCCTTCGCGAAAATGAAATACTTGAGCTGCAGGTAAGGACAATCGCGCGATTGTCTTGGGATCTAAATCTTTGAAGCATGAGCTGAAGAATAGCCGGCATGAGGAGGAGAGACTCAAGATTTCAATTTCGGTTGGAGTGAGCCAATTTGGTTCTTACTAAACTGTTGCAAGATGCAAGAAGGCGCGATTCACCGCAATCAGCAACAGCTGCAAGAGTTCAGGTTTTCGATGGCTTTGTCTTTGGCTGGGTTTGATTTCTGCGTTTTGTGCATATAATTGTTCAGGCTCTACATGTCCAAAAGAGACGCCCAGATCAGGGACATATTGCAAGCAGAGAATCGTCGCTTTCAGGTAAAATGTCTGTGGAACACTTTTCTTATTTGACAACCCGGCTAGAATGTCCTTGAGGAGTACAAAGAGCGATTTGCTCGTGAACGTGCAAGGTTACAGGAAGCCATCCAGACTTCAAGCAAGTGCATTCGTGTTGTCTCTGAGATTTTGCCAGAATGCCTGGGTAAATTTTTCATTCTGCTGCGTTTTACAATGCTAAACGTCTTTGATAGCTGCAGAAAAAGAATTATTTGAAACCCCCATCGAAAGCATTCCCAGACAATCCGTCAATCTCCCAGCATGGACAACTTCTCTCAGGTTCTTTTCGTTGAACATGCGACGTCGGTTCACGACCTTTGAAGCATGGATGATTACAGCCTAGGGGGTTCACTTGGAGGCTCTATGCTCTCTGAGAAGGTATGCCCAGACAGTGATGTCAACTTGGCCAATGACGTGGTTGTAGGCGAGCAGGAGTGAAACTATGTTCACTTGAGACCTTATGTCAGTCCCGGAGTGATCTGAAGCTTGAACTCTTCCATAGGCTCAGACTCCTTGGAAGGGCCACTGAAAGAATGGACCAAAGTTTTAATATTTAAAAGGGAGGATAACACCTACATGAATAGAATAGCGCCTTCTGTGCGTTACAATGAAGTCATTCATTCATCCAGCTTTGAAGGGTTCTCCCTCAACGTGGATGAAAACTCCTTCGTCTGTTGGTAGAGGGTGGAGATTTCTTCTGTTGAATTCGTTATCCTGTGAAATGAATGAATAAAATAGACTTACGGCTTCTTCGGAGCAGACTAACCATGGTTTTCTTTCTTCAGAATACTTTCTTTGGATATCTGCCACTAGGTCTTGAAATCTTTGCAACATATCAATTTTCATGTGAACAACCCCTCTCAGCCATTACAACCTTTCATGCTCTGCATTCCATTTCTGTTGGAAGCTTTCTTCCTGTTGGACATAAGCCTCCTTCATCCTAGCGATTCACAATCAGGATGTCAATCGTTTCTGATCCTTCGAGCTTTGAACAGCTCTCACATCTTGAGTTCGTCGTGACTTGCTTGAGATGCTTGTTCGAGTTGTTGTCTATCATCGATTCATGATCAGAACGATTCAGGGAAACGAACATCAATCACAGGTAAGTTGCCAGGTTCTGTCGTTCCTTCATGGACTTTTGAAGTTCAGACTTGAGCCTGACAAAGAATAAAATCGCTGATGAAGTATTCATCTTTCAATACCTTGCGATCTCCTCCTCCTGCTTGGAGATCAATTCGGCTGCATCTGAACTCATCCCTGAGCGCAACTACGCATATCAGCAACCTTCGTGCCATGATGAATATGATTCAAATGCAATAAAGAAACAAAATGTTGACGAAGACATATCAACTCAACTATTGTGAAACTATTGAATCAGATGGGAAAGAAAACGAGCATTGAGATCACGAGGAAGCAAGAGGAGCATGAAGATGATATGGGAGGAGGAGGATCATGACGATAATGGGAGACGGAGACGGGGACGGGATCAGGTAGGAGGTTGGCTGGTCGGGAGATGGCATGGTGGTGGCGGGGCGGGTTCAGATTCATTAACCAACACTTCCAAAGTTTGTGAAAGCAAAGAATAAGGTTTGGACATTCAAAGTTTGAACATCAAAGTTTCTAAGTTTCGGCTTGGTGGCTATGGATGACCAGGTCGGCGATGGTAGCGCTGGCTGCAGTGGCCGGGCTGAGCTGGTGGAACATGGCGATGTTTGCACACCTTTCCTCGAGCATGCTGCATCGATCATCGTCCCTGGACGCCAGAGCACTCCGATCGCTCTCGGAGACTGCGAGAATGCAGGGGATCCTTCGCAGGATGACGAAGGAGATGGAAGGTAGCCGGTGGCCGGAAGGGCTACGAGGAGGAGGAGATGTAAATACCGATAACGCCCTGGTTGGTGGCTCAACTCTGAATCGGGTTGGAGGATCAGCAAGATTGGGAAAGATAGAAGGAGGGGGGGGGAGGAGGGGGAAGTGGAAGCAACTTTAACGTCGTGGCTGATCAACCAGCGCTGGATCAAGAGGAAAGGCTGACAGGAGGAAGGGAAGATAGGAGCGCTCATGAATACCTTGCTACCGACTCAGCTCATCATGCAATAAGTCAGATTCGTATGTCAGAAGCGCCAGGGAACGCAACTAGAGCGATGACAGCTACTCTGTTTGTGTCCAACCCTCGTGGACAGCAGCTCCTCAAAGATCTCCCTATAGCTGTAGTGGCCTACAACAGAGAGATGTATTTGCGAAGGTTAGGCCGTGAGGGGATAGCTTTCTTGGAGCTCTTGACCTGAGTGGTAGGTGCCTGACGTCGTTGCTGTCTGTGCGAGGTGTCAAACGCTCGAGCATCACGGTCTATCAAGATGGCTTCGAAGCATCGACTTCTCAGGTAAGGACCAAGGTTTTTCATGGATGGGTTGACGACCGAGCTGCAGGCTGCCACCTCCATGGGCGTCGCGATAAAGCATCATGTCAGAAAAGGTTCCGAGAGGTCTTGCTTTCGTCGGTCGTGAATTCTTCTCTTGCAGAGCTGAAAGAATCTGCCGCCTACATTGCAGACCATTACAAGTTCGTTCTGAGTGATGTCTTTGCCGACGAGTCAGTGCAGTGAGTGACTTGTCTTGCGAATCCAGATAACCTTCAACCCTGAACCTCTACATCCCTCCTTGCGTAGGTTCTGCATTGTCGTAGAGGAAGACATGGTCTTCGCCCCTGATTTCCTGGAATTCTTCCTTCTGTATGCACCAGGAAAGTGAAAGAGAAGGAAAACAGTTGTCCTCAGCATGACCTTATTGTAGTGATGAAAAAAGACGCCACCGTCTACTGCGTCTCAGCCTACAACGACAATGGCTTCGAGACGCTTGCCCTGGACTCCAGTCAAGTCTATCGGACTGAATGGTTCATCGGGCTGGGCTGGCTGGCCCTGCGGGAGATCGTGACGCATGAATGGCTTCCACACTGGCCGGGTAAGTTTCTTTGCCAGTACGCTCGGATGGATGATGTTGGTCATCAGAGACTCACTGGGATCATTGGCTGCGTGAAGATGAACAGAGGAAGGGCAGAGAATGTCTGTTTCCAGAGGTTACATACGATCCTCCTCCTCCTCCTCCTCCTCCTCCTCCTCCGCGGTCTAAAGGTACATCAGGTTCCGCGGGATTTTCACATTGGTGAACGCGGAGCCAACATGGATGCCATGCACTATCGCCGATATGACAGGTTGCCATTCCGTCCTTGCGAGGAATTTGGCTCGAGTCTTGATCAAGGACACTAGCTAACGTCGAAGTTTGCAGCCGACTGAAGCTGAACGACCTGCCGGATCACATCCAGATGGTATCGCACGCATTGATATTGTGATGTTAGTGAATGGGTCGGAGGTCTCGCCGGAGAGCCTCTTGCTGGGCAACTACGAGGAGATGCTGGGCAACATGCTCGCTGCGTCTCATGTCGTCCGGAATCTCAAGGAGCTCGATCTCATAACCGAGTATCAATCTTGCTCCCAGCCCTGGGTCAGATACTCCCTGGCTATCTGAGAGTGAGAGAGGCTGATGCTGCTGCTTCAGGTGGTGTACTATGAAGGCGGTCTGTCGAATCACACCCTCAACTCTCAAGGTCACATCACTTCGTCCACCCCCTGGTACTCTGACCCCACGCGCTCTCTCGCTGATCGGGCGGCAGGAAACCGATATCAAACTTCTTCGGCCTTTGGCATGAGCCCAGGCGAGGGATCCACAGGTCAGTGCGGACCCGCCCCCTTTCCCTCCCACCCCATGCGAGGCGCATTGCAGTGATGGTTGCGATGAGAGCAGGGGACTGCATCGTTTTCACTTCCGGAACAAGTGCGTCTTGCTGGTAGACGCCTTCTCTGTTTATGCTCGGAACCACATGCCGCGCGAGTACGTAACCTCTCCTTGCTTTCCCCAGTCTGACTAGCACCCCTCCTGTACAGCCTTGTTCCATTCAATGGACAACAGTTCGGTCAAGCAGTATGGGCACGAATTGCGTCAATACAGAGCAGGACTGATGGGTAAGGGAGGTAAGGAGAGTCAATTGTCACGTTTGTGGTATTTCAAGATTAGTGCGAAAACAACAAGATGCGATTAGGCCTTCTCCCCGAAGCCGCACCATTGTACCTGCAGGCTGTACTGCTTCGCCTTGTCTACATCCATGTTTCCTGACACCGAGCTGAGCATCAGCTTGGTCGTGAAGCCCTTGACTGACGGGTCGTACACGGAGGTTACCCCTCCCATCTCGAAGAGCTTGCCTGTGCCCCTGAGGCTCGTAAGGTAGACGGGGGCCGGGCTGGCTTTGAAGTTGCACGATGACGTGTCGACGTACTCGTAGACGAGGTTGGTCGAGTCCGACTTCCACTGGCCCTCCGATATCCCGCAGCAGGCCCTCGCCGCATTGCTCGCTACCGAGCTCCCCGACACCAGTCGTACTCCCGTGCAAGGGTACTCGGCCGCCGTGATCTCCTTGCGGTTGATGAGCATGTCTCCGGTCGGGAACACGGACCCGATCCCGCACCATCCCAGCTGCCACTTGTTCACTCGGGCATTCGCCTTGGAGACGGTGTCAAGGTACGAGCTCAGGCCCCCGATCATGGAGCGGAACGAGTTCTTAGGAAGGTCGGATCCCGGGTAGATGGAGGCGGTGCCGACCGTGTCCTGCACGGCGCCCATGCCGCTCAGCGTACTGAAGTACTGTGGGCTCCCTCCGAACTGACAAGCCTTCGTGTTGATGTTGACTTGGATGCTTCTCCCTGCGTTGTCGTTGGACCAGTCATTGGGGGAGGTCAGCCCGCAGCAAAGCCCGACTTCCTGAGGCCCAGTGGACTCGCCCACGCCGCACCACTGCACCTTGACCTGGTTGGAGTTGACCTCCCACGCCTGTCGGGTCTTCGCCGGCGCCATCACGTACATACGAAAGCTGTCCTTCTTCGAGTCGTGGATGCTGCCCACCCCGGCAAACCCGCCGATCAAGCTGTTGCCAGACACGCTGGTGAAGTACATCACATCGTCATTGAGGAACTTGCACCGGTCTGTGTTGACGTCGATGAGCGTGCCGTATGTCTTGAAGTCTTCCCATGCCACATTAGATGTGCCGCAGCACACGTGTTTCTTCGATTCCTCTCGGATCCCGGGACACATGTTAGCGCTGATCACGTCGGTGTCCTTGCCTGCGGGACCCTGGGCACCCCGGGCTCCGATGTCTCCCTGGGGCCCGACGTTTCCAGGAGGACCAGGGGGTCCTCGTGCACCAGGGGGGCCCTTGGGTCCAGGAAGGCCTCGAGCACCAGGGGTGCCAGGATCTCCCGGAGGTCCTCGTGGAGAGTCTCCGCGCAGGCCCGGGTTTCCTCGTTGACCTGGAAGACCAGCTGGACCGTTGTCGCCCGGATACCCTGGGGGTCCATTGTCTCCTTTCTGTCCTGGTTCGCCGACGAGACCTCGCGGGCCCGGAGGTCCCTGGATGCCGGGGACGCCGGTCCTGCCTCGATCTCCCTGGTCGCCAGGTAGCCCAGGGAGGCCCATGGGGCCCATGTCGCCAGGAACTCCTGGTCTGCCCTGCAAGCCTGGACGGCCCATCGGTCCTGTCAGTCCCATGTACCCTGGCGGGCCCACAACTCCTCTTACTCCTCTTGGTCCTGTTCTACCGGGCTGATGGGTTCGATTAGACCGTGCTCAAGACTTAACAAAGCATCACCTCGCCAGGAAGGACCTCGACGGAAACGGCAGGAGGACGATCGAGCTTGTCCATGAACATCTTCTGCTTCCTTGCAAGGCTTGCCAGCTTTCTCTTCAGCTTCATCACTGCAAGTCACATCAGCATCCGGCGCAAAGCGTGGGAGGTCATATTTACCTTTCGTGAGCAAGGTGTCTTCGCCCTTAGGGAAGTTCTGGAACATGTCTCCATAGAAGTCAATTCTGTTAGGATGTTCGAGGTCAATGTTGGCGTCGCTGGAGTAGATCGCCTTGGGGTCAAACTTTTTCACTATCTGACAATCTTCGATTCCAGTGCCATCACAAGGAGCACCTTCGAGAGCAACCTCTTCTCCTCTGGGCAGAGCTCTCATGCTCGTCCACGAGGAGATGAGGAGGAGCGAGAACAGGAATGCGCCACCTGCCATGATCATCCTCTCCCTCCCTCCCTCCTCCCATCGCGTTCTTGCCATCGCGACGCCTCTTCGCAACACCCCACCCCCACCCCCTCCTCGTAGATTGACTCTACTCCCTCGGTACCTCACCTCTGACCATAAGTACCCACCCTGTTGGGTATACATCGACTGAAGTACCCCACCCAATCAATTTCAGTACCCCTGATATACTCAGAATGCATTGGGGAAGGTATAGGGTAGGTGGTCTTATGAATGACACGAAGAGTCGTCGCCATGACGGGACGGTGGATGCGACGGGATGGGGCCGCGCTGCTGGGAGGTGAGAGATAGGAGAGGAGAGGAGGGGAGAGGAGGGGAGAGGAGGGGAGGGGAGGGGAGGGGAGGGGAGCGGAGCGGAGAGGAGAGGAGAGGGCGAAGAGGAGAGGAGAGGAGATTGCGAAGAGGAGAGGGGAGGGGAGGGGAGGGCGGAGAGAGAAAAAAAAGGGATAGTATTAGTAGCGCGAGAGAGGCGACGGTTTATTTAGATGAAAGGAGGAGACGCGAAGGAACGCAATTAGCAATCTTGGATTTCAATAAGGCATGCTTATAATCTTATGCAGCTTCCGTCCTCTTCGCAATTTTCGTGGTTTGGAGATTCAAGCTTAACGGATCACAACAAACACCTGGTTTACTTGGTCTATTTTCTTTCAGATGGCTAATAGCTTTGTTACAGTACTGGATCAGTCATTTGATCCCCAGGCAATATATGGCGTGGAAAAGTCACTTGACATGACGCACTCTAATCGCATCGATGATTATTCTCCTTTCTTTGCCGAAACCGATGATGATATGTCTTCAAGCTTGGTGGCGAAAGGTAATCCTGGCATTGCGTTGGTGTTAAGAGTGAATAACATGATGCTCAGTTCAGCAACTCAAGAAGAGGTTGATCAAGTTGGCCAAGATGCAAAAAGCATTTATGAGGAAATTGGACGAGCCAGTACCGATCTCCACAACTGTTCTGCCGGGTGAACCTGGAAGGTTGGGACCAAGGGGTATACGAGGACCACCTGGTGCGCCTGGCCCACAAGGGCTGACAGGAGCCGTTGGAAGATATGGTGTGACGGGAAACTCCGGTGAGCCACATTCCCGTTTTCATAATATGAACTAACCAAGAACCAGGAGTTCCTGGCGACATGGGCCCCATGGGCCTCCCTGGGCTACCTGGCGACCAGGGAGATCGAGGCAGGACCGGCGTCCCCGGCATCCAGGGACCTCCGGGCCCGCGAGGTCTCGTCGGCGAACCAGGACAGAAAGGAGACAATGGACCCCCAGGATATCCAGGAGAGAATGGTATGGCTGGTCTTCCAGGTCAACGAGGAAACCCGGGACCCAGAGGGCAATCTCCCAGAGGACCTCCGGGAGATCCTGGCACCCCTGGTACTCGAGGCCTTCCTGGACCCAAGGGCCCCCCTGGTGCACGAGGACCCCCTGGTCCTCCCGGTAATGCAGGAGCCCCGGGTGACATCGGAGCCAGGGGTGCCCAGGGTCCCGCAGGCAAGGACACCGACGTGATCAGCGCTAACATGTGTCCCGGGATCCGAGAGGAATCGAAGAAACACGTGTGCTGCGGCACATCTAATGTGGCATGGGAAGACTTCAAGACATACGGCACGCTCATCGACGTCAACACAGACCGGTGCAAGTTCCTCAATGACGATGTGATGTACTTCACCAGCGTGTTTGGCAACAGCTTGATCGGCGGGTTTGCCGGGGTGGGCAGCATCCACGACTCGAAGAAGGACAGCTTTCGTATGTACGTGATGGCGCCGGCGAAGACCCGACAGGCGTGGGAGGTCAACTCCAACCAGGTCAAGGTGCAGTGGTGCGGCGTGGGCGAGTCCACTGGGCCTCAGGAAGTCGGGCTTTGCTGCGGGCTGACCTCCCCCAATGACTGGTCCAACGACAACGCAGGGAGAAGCATCCAAGTCAACATCAACACGAAGGCTTGTCAGTTCGGAGGGAGCCCACAGTACTTCAGTACGCTGAGCGGCATGGGCGCCGTGCAGGACACGGTCGGCACCGCCTCCATCTACCCGGGATCCGACCTTCCTAAGAACTCGTTCCGCTCCATGATCGGGGGCCTGAGCTCGTACCTTGACACCGTCACCAAGGCAAATGCCCGAGCGAACAACTGGCAGCTGGGATGGTGCGGGATCGGGTCCGTGTTCCCGACCGGAGACATGCTCATCAACCGCAAGGAGATCACGGCGGCCGAGTACCCTTGCACGGGAGTACGACTGGTGTCGGGGAGCTCGGTAGCGAGCAACGCGGCGAGGGCCTGCTGCGGGATATCGGAGGGCCAGTGGAAGTCGGACTCGACCAACCTCGTCTACGAGTACGTCGACACGTCATCGTGCAACTTCAAAGCCAGCCCGGCCCCCGTCTACCTTACGAGCCTCAGGGGCACAGGCAAGCTCTTCGAGATGGGAGGGGTAACCTCCGTGTACGACCCGTCAGTCAAGGGCTTCACGACCAAGCTGATGCTCAGCTCGGTGTCAGGGAACATGGATGTAGAAAAGGCGAAGCAGTACAGCCTGCAGGTACAATGGTGCGGCTTCGGGGAGAAGGCTAGTTGATAACGCTCGGCTCGGCAGCCTCCACGTTTTTTGTATTCTTTGATTCGTTGTGCATTTAGTTTTTCTTTGTTTTCGCCTTGCATATACACGCCTATGAGTTTTTAAAATTCTCTCACTCCACAAGGCTTACACGCCCGCACTCCAAACGTCGACAAGTCCAACAAGTCCTCTACCGGACCCGATCTCATTCGGGTGTTCACCTTGTCTTGCCCAATACCATCTCGTTGAATCTCTTCACCTCCACCTCTGATCCGAAGCACGCTGCCGTCCTCTGCCATGGCGCTCAGTGCCGGTTAGCGTCAAGTCTCCTAACCTGATCAACGGCCTCGATCTTGGAGTCCAGCAGGGAGTTGCCGGTGACGCCGTCGGAGGAGCAACCTCCCGCCTTCTCCACAAGGAAGGCGTACGGAGCCACCTCAAAGGCGAGTCGGAGCTTTGCTGGGGACTTGGGCGTGCTCGGGTTGGTGAAAATTCCCATCTCCTTGGTGAACTGCTGGTAGACGTCGGGCACGAGTCCACCAGTGTACCTAAGAGTGTATCTGTTGTGCATCCAGTAACTGACGAGCTTTTCATATCCTTCAAGATCGGCGCAGGCTCGGAGGTTGGCTGGTGAAAAGATCTTGGACTCCTGAAGCAAGAGAGTCAGAACAGAGGGAAAAGAGACAAAACCTTGCTGCTGTTGCTGTCTTGAAGGCTTTCATCACTATGGTCCATATCATCTCGACCACTTTTCTTTCCCTCCTCCTACTCCTGGACATCCTTCTCTTCACCTGCTCCCCTCATGTTCATGTTGATGTTCGTTGTTATCACCATCACCATCACGGTCGCAATCACCACCAACAACATCAACGTCGAACCTTGTTGATCCTGATCTTCTCCTTTGACGCTATCCACCTATCTTCAGTGATACAAGTAAACTCGTATACTCCGTCGTCGCACGCTATCAGAGCCGTCGTTCGCGGCCCGTACATGACCACCATCGCCGTGATCTGATCCCTTCCCGTCGCTCCCAGCATTCCTGTCGTCTTGTCCCACACGCCTGATCCGCTGACGTTACTGGCGCAACCCCAGCAAGCTCTGCTCGCTTACCGATGATCGTCCCTACCGCCCAGTTATTGTCGACGATGGAGGAGCCGTCGAGTGGGTCCCAGCAGACGGTGAACCTGCCGTTGGGGTTGGTCTCCACGAGCTTCGGCTCCTCCTCAGACGCCGCCTCCTTGATCAGCTTGCATGCCTTGGCTGCCTCCCACAGAATGTTGTCCGCTATGACATCTAGCGCCAGCTGGACATCGCCAAACACAGAGTTCTGCGATGCAGCGACAGTCGCCAGGTTCACACGGAGAGCGTCTCCTACTCTCGAGGAAGCCTCCAGCAGCTCCTTGGTCAGCTCCCTTACGTCCTCGTCCTCGATCTTCTTCCCGAGCACTTCGTCGAGGCTAGGGTAGTGCTCCTTTGCCTCTGCTTTGGTGTAGTAGGAGGAGTGAGACGCCCCGAACTCCGCATGGTGTCCGATCTCCGCCATGGCCCTGCATGGAGAAACGGGAAAGGGAAGGGAAAGGGGGAGCGGGGGAAGGGAGGGAGGGAGGGATAGGGGAGAGAGGAGGGAGGCAGATGAGAAGAGAGGAGGGAGGGGAATAGGAAGAGTATCGTTAGCACGTCACCACAGTCTCATTTGTATCACATCAGATTCTCCTCCTTTGCTGGACCGCACGTGCGGCCTCCAAAATCTCCAGGCCGAGCCCTCGACTGCACCTACCCTCCTCAGCTGCTCCTCAGCTGCTCTTTATGTTCTAGAGGTTCTCACAAAGAGAATGAGGACGCGGAGACGGCAAGGAGGGCATCAGACATCAGAGGGTTCGACCAGCTCGACATTCACTTCTCCTGCCTCGAACGTGTTGCTAGAGGCCTCTGAGCGATGAAGCACTTTCAGCAGACTTTCCTCGCACAACATCAACCAACATGATGGGTATGCCACTTGTTAACCAGCTCTTCCTAGCTTCCTCGCTCCCTTGCAGCCTCCCCCTCCCCCTCCTCCCCGTCCCCGTCCTCCGCCCTCTTCGCCATTATCGATTCGCATCTCACCACCCTACCTCGTTATTCCTACCTGTTTTAGATTCTGGGGTGGGTACTTGATAGACCGTGGGCAATGGTTGGATCCGGAAAGGAGAAAGGGCGGAGGAAGGAGGAGAAGGAGGCGGGGGAGGAGGAGGAGAGTGAAGAGGAAGAGCAGAGGAAGGGAGTGACTCTAGTCACCCAGCTCAGCTGGAACAAGTTCTCCTCCCTCCTGGTCTTGCGGCCCCGGTGGGCAGGCCCTTGTGTAGCTGCTGTCCTGGTTCCGAGCTCGCAGTCCTCTGAGTTCCACGAGGGCGTGCAGGAGCTGCAGCAGAGTAGCCATGACATCACTCAGATCGTTGCAGTCTGGGAGGACGAGCTTCACTTCGAACGGTATCCCATCAACGCCATGCGCAACATCGCTCTCGCGCATGCCGGCACCGACCTTGTGTTCCTGTGCGACGTGGACCAGCTGCCTTCGGTCACCTTCTCTGCCCTGCTGCAGCAAGAAGACATCTTGATGCTGCTGTGGAGGTGGTGCTGTGTCGAGCGAAACGCCATCGTGGTACCTGCGCTGGAGCTGAAGAAGGGGGGAGGCGAGGCGATCAGTCTTGAGGATGTGCTAGGAGACTATGAGATGGCAAAGAAGCTTCTGCACGAGGAGGATCTTGAGAAAACTCGGGTGATAGGATTCCAGACAGAAAAGTTTCCCACAGGACACGCGGCAGAACGAGTGAGGGAGCTATGGACAGCGTGCGAGTCGATCGAAGGTAGATTGGAGAATGGCGGGAATGTGAGCGAACGTTGAAGTACACACTGACATGGAAGGCAGGATACATGATAGAGTACGAGGAAGGATTTGAGCCCTACGTGATAGTCTCGAGGCAGAGCTTCCTTCTCTTCCTCGCTCCCTCCGCTGAGTACTGCAGCAGGTGGATGGTTCCCGCGTACGATGAGAGGTACGAGGGCTACGGGAGGTGAGATGACGGTGATTGTTGTTGAGCAAGAGATGATGATGATGATGTAGGAACAAAGTGTCGCACATTCGACGGATGGCGGTGCAAGGGTTTCATTTCCGGGTGTTTGGCTCGCGAGCCTTCGCTGCCGTTTCCTGATTGAAGGTGCGCAGGTCTGCTTCAAAGCGTACGTCGTGCACCAAGAGCATGAGTTGTCGAGGGATGCTCAGGAGTTCTACGACAGGGAGAATAACTCAAGGCTGGAGCAAATCAAACATCTCGACATGAAGTTGGCGGAAATCGTTAGGAACGATCCTTTCTCTCGCACTTGTTGCTATTGCCCTCAATTCGACAAGTATTGCGGTCAAGGTTTACCTGGACCACTTGGGCTCTGGCGAGACCAAAAGGTGAAGAGGAGAAAGTATCATCGCAGCCCTGACGGCTTCTTTCAAGGTGTACCAGCACTCGAGAGCTTCCCTACACGCCATGATGACAAGGAAACTGACTCGCACAGCAACTCCTTTCTTTGACATTCTCCATCGGAGCACTGGGAGGGTACTTCGGAACATTTTCTTCTTTACACACCAGTACGAGCTTGTCCAGCATCACTCCCAGCAGCTGACAACCTACGGCAAGTTGAGCAGCAGGGCTATCACAGCTGTCTCCCACTGCTCACTCTCCCACCTTGTCGGTGCGATCCGACAGCTCAGGCACTGGAACGACAACGCCGTCCTGTCCATCCTCGTTCCCGACGGTTTCATAGGACGCTTTCTTGCCTGCTGTGCGAGATGGCTGGTATCCTTGAGCCTCGTAGGATGTCAGGGGCAGCTGCGGATTGTCACTCTGGCAATGGACCGCAATTCGCTCTCTGCACTGACGCGGGGCCGCTATCCGTCCAACCTCGTGCGATCGGTTAGCAGGAAGAATGTCCCCATGGTGACTGAGTTGGAACGCGCAGGTTGGGCTGGCGGTGGTGGAGACGAAGTGGAGTCTGCTGGTGGACGCGGACCTGCTCCCTTCCCATAGCCTTGCAAGGAGGCTAGACAAGTTCCTTTCGAGCTCCCAAAAGGACGAGCTGACTGTCTTGGTGGTCCCAACGTTCGAGGCCTCTAGGGTGTCTGACGTCAGCAGCATTCTGAGAGCAGCGAGGGGAGAGATGGCGGCTCTAATGCATGCCAGCAAAATCCGCGGCTTCCATTTGGACCATTACAGGGAAGGCCATGGAGCGACTGACTTTGAAAAGTGGGTGCAGCTGTTCCACCCAGACCACCTCTCCTCCTATGACATCGAGTACGAGGACGGCTTCGAGCCCTACGTCGTAGTCTCCACCCGAGTCATGCAAGCGCTGAACCCTCCGCTCTATGACACGCGATTTCGACATCCGTACGCTGATAAGGTCTCGGCTTTCAGGTGAGAGCTGCTGCTGCTGCTGCTGCTGCTGCTGCTGCTGCTGCTGCTGCTCAATATTGACCACAGGCGACTCTCCCGCGAGGCTCTGCGCTGGTCGGTTTTCACTGGCGGGTTCTTCCTCTCGATGCCTCACACGCCCAGCACTAGCAAGCGAAGAGTCGAGATGACAGAGGAGGAGGAGTTTTTCTTCGCCGCTTCCTACGGGCTGGCGGATCGCTCGAAGATGAGCAGCAGGGGCTCTGAGACTGCAAGTGAGGTGGAAGGTCAAGGGATGGACGAGTTGAGAAGGACCGGGAAAGTGATCTGGCAAGGCTTTCCGTCGCTCGACGACACCCCAACCTTGCACCAGCTGTTTGCCAGCTGGGACTCGGATGTCAAAGTTGACGCTGGCAACGTCACGCTTGTTCAGGGGGTCCATGACAGCCTGGGGACTGAGTCGGCCATGGCACTCAAGGTCTCTCTTGCCCCGCGCATGACCCGGGGCAGCAGCACAAGCTCAGGCGGCCTCAATAGTTTCTTCCGCCTCCCCCTCCTCCCACATGACTTCGTCCTTCAGTACCAGGTCCTGTTTCCCGCAGGGTTTCAGTGCGGGGAGAAGGGAGGCCGACTGCCTGGCTTTTCCCTGGGCGAGGAGATTCTGGGGAGCTTTTGGAGGTGGACCAGCAACTCAAACTTTGTTCTCAAGTGTTTCCACAAACCTCTGCGGACAGGCGATAAAGAAGTCTCGGTGCAGAGCACTAGACTGCTGTCAGTCAGCATCGTCAGGGATGTCTGGACGAGGCTTTCAATACGTCTTGGCATTCAGTCGTGTAAGGATGAAGAAGGAAGTGTTCGAAAGGAGTTCATGCGCATCACCATCGATGCTTTTGTCAATCATGTGCATTGTTCACGGGATGTCTTTAGTTTACCGGCGAGGGCCGATCCCCTGTATCAGCTGAATCTGCTGGACATGCGGACATTCTTTGGGGGAAGGGGAGCAGATTCGGGAACGTCTGGACCTTCGATTTATCTGTCTGATCTACAAATATTACAGCAGTAGGACCCATATCGAGCTCAAACGTCCTGGCCCACCATCCCTTGGGAATCTGGTCAGTTTCAACATGGAGGGAGTCGTGTGTGGAGAGGAGGAGGTTGTTAGAAGGAGATCGAGAGCATTTTGAGGTTTCCTTAGAGGACCACCCCCCCACCCCCCAAACTTCATTGTTTCACCCCACCTTGTCTGAGACCTGATCTACTACCCCCATTGCTGTAGAGTTCCCCTTTACCCCACCCCTCCTCATTTCCTAAACAAAGTTCACCCTCGTTCACCACCACCCCTACACGCTTCTCACCCCCACCACGCCTTTCACATAATTCTCACCCTACCTTTCCCACAAACCACCCCTACCCCTTGCAGTGTAGTATGTAATCAGGCTACATTAACCGTCAAGCGCAGTTGACACATAAGCCCGGTTAGCTCAGTCGGCAGAGCGCAAGGCTCTTAACCTTGTGGTCGTGGGTTCGAGCCCCACATCGGGCGAAGCTCCGACTGAACTTTTTTGTCACTGAGTCTCCCTTTCAAGTTTTTTAAAGTTAGATTCCGCCGGGTCAGTGACAGTGCGGTGGGCCCCCGGCCACCGTCACTGCTCAGTCTTTTTTGGTCTGACGATTACGGGGGCATCTGAACTTCCGGAAGTTTCTCTTCCAAGGAACTTCGGAACACGTATCACTCAGCGATCACTCAGGCTCAGGTTCAACGGTTCAGTTACAGTACCGGGCGGCCCATGCCATCATAAGCCTTTCCGAGTCAAATACCCCACCCCCTATCAATCCGAATGATAATCACCGGGGGGTACTACCGTAAAAGGGTGCTTCTGTGCGAGGGCAAGTACCTGTATAAGGGCAGTCAAAAGTACCGGTCATAATAACCGCTAATCAAGAATCCTGGCCCGGATTTTTCATACTATGATACCGGGCCCGGTACCGGCGCTGCAGCGGGCGCGGCCTTGAATCCCAAGTAGGCTCATAGTATATCTCGGTCACTGATCAGTGGAGTAGAGACGGCATGCCAGTGTGCTCTCTTGCAGGTCGAATATCTCGGAAGGCAGTTTGACCGGCGATCATCCGATCATGTTTGGCCACTGGGGCCTCTACTACCGTACTGCCCGGCCACGGTGACTAAGTAACAGATTGCGCGCATTTACTCAGCGAGTCCGAGTGACACCGGCCACTCAGTGTCGACGGTCAGTGACCGTGACCGTACTGAGACTGAACGGGGCCGCCTCAGTGCCTCGAACAACTGACCGTTGGCAAAGTCATGCACTGGGCCACCGGTTCCGATAAGTTCCGAAGTTCGGCAGCCTCAGTCGGAGCCTGACTCGCCGCAGTGACGTACTACGGTCGGTCACTGGTGACCGGGTGCGACGGTACCGGAAATTGCTGCCGGGCGTCGAAGGCCCGTTACTGACCGTTGACACTCGGACAAGTGAAACCGCCGAACCGTTCGGTTGAAGATGGGATCCGAAGGCAGTGTACCGTACTGTGACTCGTCGGACGGTGACGTCCGAGCCGGGCCGCGCCGTGCGGGGCCCGGCGGCGCGTCGCCGAACCGTTTCAACCGTCAAGTTTACAGACACGGTACTACTGAGCCAGGAGAGGCAGTCATGATGGCCGCCGGGCACCTCGGAACTTCAAGAGTCAGGCGCACAAGTTAGAGCAGGGTGGCAAAAAAAGACTGAGCCGCAGTGCCCCCCACCGTCACCGCCGGTCCGGGAGGGCCGCATCATGATGCCACTGTCAGTCACCCGGCGGGTGGGCAAGACTCGGCGGCGGAAATCTAACTTTACTAGTTAAAAGGGAGACTCAGTGACCAAAAAGTTCAGTCGGAGCTTCGCCCGATGTGGGGCTCGAACCCACGACCACAAGGTTAAGAGCCTTGCGCTCTGCCGACTGAGCTAACCGGGCTTATGTGTCAACTGCGCTTGACGGTTAATGTAGCCTGATTACATACTACACTGCAAGGGGTAGGGGTGGTGTGTGGGAAAGGTAGGGTGAGAATCATGTGAAAGGCGTGGTGGGGGTGAGAAGCGTGTAGGGGTGGTGGTGAACGAGGGGACTTAGTTACGCAATAAGGGGTGGAAGCCGAAGGTCGCATGGGTGATGGGATATTTGGAGGGGTGGTGTTCGTACACCAGAAGGTATTCTTTTGTTTTTAAGTCCTCTTCTTGCTAATTAGGGGGGGTAGAATTAGCAATAGGTGGGTGGTAATTTCTTTGGGGGGTGGGGGTGACAGGGAGGGGGTTGAATGTCCCTCGGACCGTTGCAACAGACAAGATCGAAAATACGTCTCTTCGATGTACCACCCCCACCCTCCTGAATGACACAGTTCCTCTGTTCTCTACCCCGGTCCCCTGATCCGTTTTCACCACCACCACAACCCTGGCCCAAGGAACACTTTCAAAGCCCCACCCTTGAAAAAAACCTTTAAAGTACCCCTCCATCATCTCAGATTTGGGACCCCTACCCCCTAACACCAATCCAAGATCCCCCCATGCAGTTTGCTCTAATGGTCCTCTCTTTTATCTGGGATCCCCTGCCCCGGCCCCCCTTCCTTCCCCCCCCCCCCCCCCCCTCATCCCTCCTCCCTCCTCCTCGCTTGCCTATCTCATGCAACCTCCCTGCCCTGCCCCTGCAGCCATGACCTGCTCCTTCCGATCCTGATGCATCATCAGATCCCCACCTGGGCCCGGACTCAGTCTGCCCTAGCCCTTCCATTCTATGTTGCTTTCTCAATCAGAGGCAGATTGCAAATTGTTTGTTCATCCATCAAGATAATCTGTGCAGATGCAGATAAGAGAGTGTGAGACAGAAGGATCGTGACCTGTTGATTGTTCGATGCACTTGCTTGAACTTGGTTATGTGATATCGAAGGGCACGGGGGTGATTGCCTGGAGGCGGAAGGAAATAGTTCTCCCCGTCAGAAAGATCGCGCTTCAGTGTTGTAACACTGAGTTGTGGCCTCAGGTTGCATTTCTCAAGGGCTTTGCTGGCAAGAGAAGAAATGAGGAAGAACTTGCTCGCGATCCTCGTTTGCCTGGCATGCCTCCTTGGGCAGGCATCAAGCCACGCCACGTGCCAGCCAGGTAGGATGAAGCTGCTGTCACGCTTATTGTTTCTCACCCACCTTGGACAGTACATCTCAAGGATGAAAGCAAGAAGCACTTCTGTCCCCTGGTGAGAACAATGAACTCCCTGATTGTTCATGTCGATGAGCAAAGACTTTCAAGGACGTCACGCCTGCCGTCCTCCAAGACGGGTTCGACATGGGATCCATCAGAGGAGACTTGAGGATGCAGGCCGCTGGAACGAGCATTACAAGCACCTTCACCCGCAAGGTGTGCAGAGTGCATAATGATAGGAAGAGCGAGGACGTGTGGCTGAGTTTGTCGCCCAGGCTTACAATGAGATCATCGGCGTTGTAGGATCGAAGAGACAGTTCGGGCCCCTCTCCCTGTCTGCTACCGTGGATCCTCAACATCGTCTGTATGCAGAGGCTGTCTTGTCAGCTGGAGACAACAAGTTGGGAATACAGGCACCGCTTAACTTGTCTCGACGTCGGTCTTGACTTTTCAACCAGGGAATGACTGTGCCCAACTCTCGCACCAACAACACGATCTACAATCGTGTGTCGATGCAATCCAGGGTGGGCAAAATTCGCTCCCTAGCTCCTCCCCTCCTCCTCTGCTCTGCTTCCGATCCTCTCGCTTCCCCTCCGGCAGGTCAACTGATGGCAAGCAGGTCCCTCTCCCTCACGGGCATGTGGACATGGCAGCGTCTGCGATGATGAATGTCACTCAGATCGATGGCGCAAAGCCATGGCAAGATTACCTCAGCAAGAAGGTTGCGATCGAATGATGTCATTCTGAAGAACTGACCACGTTTCGCCTCAGATGGATGTTGCCATGTCTTTTGTCCAGGGGAATTTCACATGTGGCTTTTCCACCTCGATCGATGGAGAGTTTTCCCGGAGCCCCAACTTGACCATGAGCAATTCCATGGCGTCTGTGAAGTGCGTATGATGATGCGGAGGATGGGACAAGACGATTGACGATGAAATTGTTGTTATGGTTCTTCATGATGATGATGATGATGATGACGACGACGACGACAACGACGACGATGATGGACGTGGCCAGGTACAATGGACTCGGGTTGATGATCACATCGGACGGTTCTCTCAACCACATCATGGACAAAGTATGGGATGCAGTAGACAACATCCTGATCCCTGAGGTTCCATGAGTGTTCTCTTCGTCCCCCTGCCTTCATCGTGCGCTCTTTCGCAGCCGCTGCCCGAAGAGGAGGAGTTCGCCGGGTCGAGCACGAAGTATACTGAGGACAGCAGCGATTCCAACGGCCCGATGACCTTCTGCACCTCGGTGCTCTCGTCAATCCGACCCGCAAAGGCTGTTGCAGGTCTACGCTCGACCTCTCGTGATCAGACCTGAAGGAAGGGTGTGCAGATAGCTGCAAGGTTCCCATCTTGAAGGACGTGTGGACATGGACAGGAACGTGCTGAGATCCGCTTTCTCTGTCCCTTACACTCTTGCAGTGGAGAAAACCCTCGGAAACGCCAAAGTAGGCGCCCTCTATACCTCAGAGAAGTGAGGATGCTTGCTCCCCTTGAGTTAGTCAGCTGACCGTTTTGTCCCTGTTGGGCTCTTGCAGGAGCTGGGCGGTAGGAGGAGGATACACTTTTCCAGGGAACGAGCTCGAGGTGAAAGGAAGAGTTTCAAACGGTGAAATCAAATCGCTTTCCCTTGCGAGTGCACTGGCGGGTGATCCGATGAGCAGACTGGCCCCTCTCCAAGCTGCATGCCACCTCGTCGGTCGGTGTTTGGGCTGGCCGCACCCCCACTCGCCTGACCTGCCTCTCACCGTGCAGATCTCGACCAAGCTTGCGGACAATGTGAGGTTGAACTTGTGCAGTGATGTCGATCTTGGGGCTGGCAGCCTCGACAAGATCCTGGCGAGGTGACGTGAAAGTTCCTCCTTTACCCAATGCCCGGCTGACCTCCACCTAGCCGGCAGTTTGGCATTCGTCTCCGCATCAAGAACGATCAAAGCGTGTCAACCGAGCAGAAGCAGAAGCCAGAAATGAGCAAAGACGTGCCTGTGCTCTCGCCTCCGAAACCCCCGAAGGAAGAGGTGAAGAGGGGTGGAGGCCCGAGGGCATCTGACGAGAAGTGAAGGAGAAGAAGGATGCGAGCGGGAGACAGAAGAAAGTCGAAGATCGACAGGACTGGGCCAAATTCAGTTGGAAAGAGCTCAATCCCATGCAGCATATCATGAAGCTGACGCCTTCAGCTCCTGACGCCTCTCCATCTTCGCCTAAGGTCTTGCAAAACTTCAGCGTCTTTCAGTCCGATCAGATCGAGAAGATCAAGTCTGCCTCGACACGTGGTGAGCTCCCGCTGCCCCTGCTGCTCTTCCTCTCCTACTGCAACTTCCCCTCTCCCCCTTTGGTGTTTCGCTCTTTTCCTTCCCGTTGCCTCCCTCGGCTACTACTTGCACTGAAACGTTTCCAGGGTTGGATTCTGTCAAGGAAATGTTTCACTCCAGCTTCTCTCAGCTCAAGGTTCGTGTCTCTTCCATCCCGCAGCATGTCACAAGACCTTTCGGGCATGCACATGCACATCTTGACTCACGTGCAGGGGACATGAAGAGCATCGCCGGCGCCGGTAGTGAGAGCAAGAGCGCGCATCTGCTCTCCTAGGCAATGCATGTATGTGTAATAACTCCAGAACAAAGTCTGTGTCAATATAATGAATTCAAAACTGTCTTCTTTACGGTCCATCTGCCCTGCTACCCTGGTCAATTATTCTTGCGTCATGTGGGATCATGTTGGGTATTCCATTCACGATGGGGTACGCGACCCCTGCCTCCTCTGAGATGAGCTCGTTTGTCTCCTCGTTATACGTCAACTTCGACTTCGTGAGGGGGCAGGCGAGCACTTGAAGAAGGTCCTCCACTACATCCTTCTCCAACCTAATCTGGTTGTTTGCTCCGGTTGTGCTCTGCGAAGAGCTCTGCTGGCTCGACAGGGTTCTGACGCTGGGCCGCAAGGCTCTCGACGCCCGCATCATCATCGGGTAAAGCTTACTGTTCATGTCCGAGGTTAACCTGAAAACTAACAATTCAGCATCAGCGAGGGACGTGGGAAGTTGAACAAAAACAGACTGATGTCCGGTGTACTAGACAACTTGTTTCCTCACCATCGACTATCTGCCACTCGAACACAAGCAACCTGCAAGATTCGGATATTCTTATCTTTTGTTTCCTCGAACTTATTCTCACTCCCGCACTTCCTTCCTGATCTCGCTCCCTTCCTTTTTCTTATCATGTACATCCCGCTCCCTCACCTTCCAGCCTTCCTCTGACCCTTCCAATCACGATACCGCTGCAGTCTATGACATCATGCTCAAATATTTCTCTGCCTTCCTCCTCCTTGTACCTGCTCCTCTCCTCGCACCTTGCATTCCCTCTCTCCAAAATTTCTACCACCCTACCCCTCCTTTCCCATTCCAACCCTACCTACTGATTTCCATATACTACGGGGACGACAATAGGACCTGGTGGTAGGACAAGGCCTAGGACATGGCATTGAGCCCTCATCCCCACAGTCCGACTTTCTCGAACTTTCTTAAGGTGTTTTAGTCAATATTTGGAGGTTCATAGTCATTACTGAATGTCGAAGAAAATACAATCTGGGCCATGAGGCAACTTTTACTTGTGAAGCTCTAAGTAAAACTGTGATAGCTAAGTGGTATACCCCAACTCCTCACAATCCAACTTGCACTTGACTATAACAACCACCCCCTTCAAAAGAAGCTTTCAATGTAATCCGATGAATACCCATAACCAACAATACTGATCATACTGAGGGTACTGATAACCCCTATTTTTCATACAACTTTCATGTATTTGGTAGGGGTCATGTGGAAATATCACCGGTTTATCGACTACCCTACCTGCATCTATGAACAGGTTGTCACACCCCTACCCTCAAATTTCCATATTCTGACCCACCCATCATGTACCGTACCCTTTACCAGGCATGCTGCGTCCCGTCCTCCTCTCCCTCTCCCTCCACCCTACCCCTTGTGCACCCTACCCCTCTCTAATTGCGATTCCACTAGGATTCCTAAATAAATTATTACTCAAGGTAACGGATTGTTTTCACTTCTACTAGTTGAGTGATGATTGAATTACTACCCCATCAACGAGACTACCCACCCAAATACAACTTGTACCCCCCAGACCGTAGAGACCCCCCTTCCTCATGCGCTTTGCAATGGCGGCTCGACAAGCAGCTGCGATCATGGCGATGGTGTCGATGATGCAGGCAGTGACCTGCTTCTTCCATCAGTCATCGCCTGTAGCCCACCATCTTGGTATCGCAGTACAGCCTCAGGTCATTCATGGCCCCTCCCTCTTGAATCTGGTGCATTTCGAATTAACCAGGATCACTGCAGGTTACCTCGAGTACCAAGTGCTCCATGCGAACCCAACAATGCAGCAGTCAATTCGACATCGGAATGCACATGAGACTTCGAGGAGGAGGAGAAGTGGTTGATCTGACCGGCGATGGAGGCGTCTTGAAAGAGATCCTTGTGGAAGGCTCTGGCGACGAACTCCCACAGAACAATGACGATGTTTGCGTTCACTATGAGGGAACTCTGCAATCGGACGGATCCAAGTTCGATTCTTCCAGGGACAGAAACACACCCTTCACTTTCAAGCTCGGCCAAGGAAAAGTCATCAAAGGGTGGGACAAAGGTGGAAACGGTGCAGTAGGAGGGGGCTGCGAAGATGACATCGTCCATAGGTGTTGCTACCATGAAGAGAGGCGAGAAGGCTGTGTTCACTATCAGAAGCGACTACGGTTATGGTGCTGAAGGTAGTGGCGACAAGATCCCAGGTAATTTAACAACTTGTCTACGTGGAATGTGTCCTGATGCAAGTCAGGGAACGCAACCTTGATCTTCGAAGTCGAGCTCTTGCGATGGAACGAGGTAACAACACCTCGTGTGCCCTGTGATGTTGTCAGTACCTCGTGAAGATTGCTTCGCCTCTGATGGCAACGTCTGGTATTTGCTTGAACTGTTTGAACCTTTGCCTCCCAGCGTGAAATCACCAACGATGGAGGAGTGTACTTGAAACCCCTCGACAAGAAAGGTATGTTTCCCAATGCTGATACACCTCGCTCTGCGTAGATGTTCCGTTGTCTCCTGATGATCGTCTCTTCTGCTCCCATGACATCCTTGTCCATCTCTGACGCGTTGGGGTCAGGAACTGGATGGCGACATCCTGACCGTCACGATGAGGTGAGCTAGTTCCATTCGAGCGATACAATAGGCCGTGCTACCTGCTTTTCTGACAGCATGTCGGTGTTGCAGGTCATCGTCAAGTACGAGGGACGCTATGAAGGACAGCCTTTCACTGTCAGCAATGATTTCGAGATGATCAAACTCGGATCGCCAAGCTCACCCCTGCCCCCTGGAGTTGAGAGGGCTATCTGCAAGGTATATTTATAGGTTTTCATCCATGCCGCGCTCATATCTTTGTCTCCAACTTACATCGCCAAATGTAGGAGATGAAGAAGGGAAGCAATGCTTTGATCACTTGCCGATCAGACTACGCTTTTGGGGAGCATGGCGTTCCAGGCAAAGTTCCACCTAATGCAGACGTGAGTGTGGGTTCGGATCGGTGGAGTGTAAACTCATCTTACTGCCAGGTGATCTACGAAGTCGAATTGAAAGACTGGAATGCTATCCATGGTTTGATGACAGATCTAAGACCTCCGAGTGATTCCATTCCTCTTAGACGTTGCCAAGGACGGAGGAATCATTGTCAAGTGCCTTGGACAGGTGAGTTGAGCTTGAATCTTGTTGTTGTCTGCCAAGTTTGCTGTCATATGACGAGTCATGCTCTCTCCTGACTTGGCTGCGATACAGCTGGACACGTATGGACCACTCTGTGACGACGCGTCCAAAGTCACATTGCATGTGGAAGGCAAGGTGAAAGAAAACGTGTTGCCATGGCATGCTGCAACCGCTGAGCAACATCTGTAGGTCCTCGAAGACGGAAAGGTTTTCCTGGGGCCGGCAGAGAAGTGCATCACTGTTCGTTGAGATTCTCTGCAACATCCTAGACTGAACGATGTTGTTGTGATCGTCAGGTTGGAGATGGAGAGATGCCGGAAGGGTTTGAACGCGGGTTGGAGAAGATCAAGAAGGGCCAAAACGCCATCATCACCCTCTCGCCCAACTACGCGTATGGAGAAGCAGGGAACGAGGATATGGGGGTCCCGGCCAATGCTACTGTTCAGTATGTCGTGAATGTGAACGAGGTGGTTCCAACCGAAGGATGCATTCTGCAGGGTGAAATTTTGACTTGTCAGGTGACTCCTACCTATCAACTTCAACTCAAGGACAAGCTGGCAGCAGCTGAGAAGAGGAAGGAACAAGGAAACGGTTGTCGGCCTTGGTTCTCTCCCGTGGTCTCAACTGATGTTTGACAATTCCAGTCTTCTTCAAGAGCGAGGATCTGGAAAAGGCTCTGAATAAGTACGACAAGGCGTTCAAACTTGTTCAGGTATGTCTTCGATGCCCATTGCTCTGACCTCTGTTGCACCCGCGAATCCTTACTTTCCTCACCAACTTCTTGACGATTTCAGTATGAGCAAGGTGAAGGAGACGAAGCTGAAGCTGTGAAGAATCTCAAGAGCACGTGTCACACCAACAAGGCTGCAGTCCTTGAGAAGCAAGTAAGACATAAGGGCTCTCTCCTGCTGCTCCCCTAGCACATGCACGCCTTACTGCATCTCTCATGGCAGTAGCTCCCGCCTCCTCTATCTCATCATCCTTCTTGTCGTCCATCTCCATCTCGTCGTTCCCTTGACTGTCTCAGTATCGTCCTTTCTGATCTCCTTCTTCATTTCTTTCGTTGGTGCCTCACCGCACTTCTTCTTGATCGCAGGGGAAACTGGATGAGTGTATCGCGGAGTGTACCAAGTCGCTAGACATCAAGCCGACCAACGTGAAGGCTCTGTTCCGGAGAGGAAAGGCTTACTGCACTCAAAATCGTCTCGAGGACGCAACCAAGGACCTGAAGCAGGTCTTGGACTAGCAGCTGTCCTCATGTCCTCTCTTTCCTTCTCATCGCCGCTCACCTGCTTCACTCGTTTCAGTTTTCTGCGGCCTGCACTTGACGTTCCTCCAGGCCTTGACTGTCGACCCTGAGAACAAAGCAGCGAAGCAGCAGCTGCTCCTTGTGAACCAAAAGCAGAAAGCTCAGGCACGTGAAGGAGGGAGAGGCACCTCTTGTCAGCTGACGACGATGATGATAGGACCAGAAGGACAAGAAAGTGTTCGGAAAGATGTTTGCAAAGCCCGGGGCCCTAGCGACAGGTAGTCGCCCTGTCGTTGGATGCCCGTGCCATCTCTGACGACCGATGGAACAGAGAAGCCTGCCAGCGCCCCAAAGAAGGAGGAGCCGGCGAAAGAGGTCGGAACTATCTCGTTGCTATGAGATGCTGGATCGTGACGGGTGGCGATGCAGGAAGAGAAGATCGAAGAGTTGGGAGAGGACACGAGGATCAAGTAAGAGCAAGGAATGTGAGGAGTCAGTGGAAATGAACATGTTACTTGAAAGCTACATCTAGTGGAGTCACGGGATCGACTTTGTCGGAGTCTCAGCTGGGAAATTGTTCCCCTCCAATTCCAGCTGAATGGCCAGCTCGTCCTCCAGCTTCTTCAGCTCTCCGTGAGTCTCCTCACAGGACATGTTGGCCTTCATCGCAGAGCTGGAAAGTTTGTGAGTGTGAGTGGAGCAACAGACGGCAGGCAGAACGACCGAGCAGAGATGACCCTCGCCTCCTCCTCCCAGTCGACGCGGGAGAGCAGAAACCCTCCGATGCTGCAAAGGAGATTCAGGAAGAAGGCGGGCAGGGAGGAGGGTCGTGTAGGAGGGGAGGGAGATGTTAGGATGTTGAGGGCGGGGTAGCTGAAGCAGAAGGCGAGGGAATGGATGAGGGAGGGAAGAAGCTTGTGGGAGGGGAGAAGGGAGAAGGATGGGGGGATGAGAATGGAACGACCAGCTCGTGCAGCCAAGTCCAGCTGCCAGCCCCCACCACAGGCCGTAAACTCCGATCCCTCCTCCTGCAGCCGCAAGTCAGCAGGAGGACAGCTGGAGATGAAAGATTGCCAATGAAGAAAGTGAGGGAGATGCCGAGAGACTGGCCGATGAGCCAAAAGCCGAGGAAGTTAAGCCAGGCCACGAGCTTCTGCCTTCCCATCCCCCTGCTCTCGGATAGCTCAGCCACAACTTCTTCCTCGGCCCCTCTCCTCCTTTTCGCCTCCCCGCTCTCCTCCCTCCTCCTCCTCTCAACGCGCCTGAAGGATCCGGCGATCGCCGTCTGACAGCCGTCGAACACCTGACAACATTCAGTCAGGATTGCCGGACAGGAGGGCACGAGTTAGGGAGGGTGAGGAGGGAGACGAGAAGATAGAGAGGCAGGAGAAAGGAGGAGGAGGAGGAGGAGGAGGAGGAGGAGGAGGAGGAGGAGGAGGAGGACGACGAGGAGGAGGAGGAGGAGGCGAAGGTGGAGGAGCTCCAAAGTCACCTGGAAGAGCGCGAGGATAGGGACCAGGGAGGCAGCCTTGCTCACCACCTGCCATGGCGGTCAACGAAGACGCAGGGCCGCCGAGCGCCTTTCCTCCTCGTCCTTGCTGAAGAGATAACCGATGTAGTCCTTCACAATGAGGTAGGTGATGGCGAGACTTGCCATGAAGGAGATGGTGATGACAAGCGTGACCTGCCGATTGCTGAACATCAGCTGGACTTGAGCTGGCCTCCTCCTGGCCTCCAGATCCCCTTCCTCCTCTTCCTCTTCCTCCTACCTCTCTTCTCCTCCTTCTCCTCATCCTCATCCTCCTCCTCCTCCTCCTCCTCATCATCATCATCATCATTGTCCTTACCCTCGTTGCCGTCCTCGCCTGCTGTCCTTTGCCCTCCCCCAGCAAGTTTCCTACTCTGATGGAGACGGCGAT